CGCCAAGGTTAGCTAAGGGCCTGCTCACATGAACAGAACAGGCCCTAAGATTTCTGTTTCTTTGCGGTTGTTCATATGCAAATTGCAAATATATATTATCATGATGACAAAAATGTATATGACGAACAGCCTTTACTGTTCATGGAAGACTTTGCAATTTTTTTCTCTTTAAGTTATATCTCTTTCTTTTTAAGTTGAAATTAAAATAATTTATAGAAAAATCATAATAATTGAGCTCGTCACAATGACATTCATCTTGATATATTTTGGAACAAAAAAAAGTGAGACTTTTATTGAAAGATCATACCGTATGGTAGTACTTTGTATCCATATAAGATTATACCACGTGGTATAGAAGTGTATCATGGTGGTACGAACACACCGGAGTGTAGAATGATTGCATACATGATGGTATAGGTGGTACTTTTTGTCCTGAATTTTGTTTCCATTGAATGTGTAGGTATAATAGATCACGACGAACTCGTTTCTTCTGGGCAAAGTTTTCATCAAAATTCGAGTTAAAAATGAAGCTGGTACCGAGTGGTATGAAATTTTTTCCTCGAAATATGATGAAAATGAATATCATTTTGTAGATCACAACAAACCCGTTGAATCTGTGTGAAACATTTGAAATCCATGTTAGTACGAAGAAGATAAAAGTCGAATAAAAAACCACTAATTCTCGTCATTCATATATAAGTCGTCAGCCACATTGTCGAGTCAAATCATAGCTCAAAACGAGCTAGATCACGAGTTGAGCTCAACAAGCCACCGAATTGAACTAGGCCAAACAAAGTTTAGCTCCACCTTAACTCGCTAGTAAACAAGCTACGTGTCGAACAAGGTTTTCCCGACTCGAACGTCGAGCCGTTCATGAGCATCATGGCTCATTTGCAACTCAGGTCTCACCATACCAGCTAGGGATGTAAAACTAAAATGGCATAATCAAACCCATGGGCTTAAAATTTGCACAGACCCATCATACCTTGTGCTTTAATCAACTGTTAATATTAGGGGTCGTGGAGATTCGAACACACGATAACTTGGCCAAACCAACTCTGATACTATGTCATAAACCAGTTGCTCCCAATAACTCGAGTTATTAAAAGAAGGTTATGTTGGATATTATACCACTCTCTAATAGATACACATATGGGTTATTTTTTTTCCTACCCTAAATCTCACCCGTGTCCTAGGACACATCCAAAGTACTCTGGCTCCGCCTATGGCTTTTGTCCTTTAAGCTAAAAAAAACATCATTTTCTCCAACTAATTTGATTCAAATTCAACAGGATAACCACGATAATGCATTAGTTTGCGTACTATCGTCAACCCACGTACTTCATTAGCTACATATGATATTAATTAAGAAACCCACAAAGCCACAAGCTCTCTATGATTAAGAGTAGGTTACGTTTACTTTCTTTGAATATAATGGCTACGATATATATATGGTATACAACGTTATACGTAGCATTGAACAAACACAACGATGAACACAAATAACTAGAGTATATAATTAGATATATAGAACGTACAACGTAAGTAGCATTTTTTTTCTTCTTAAAATTACAACAAACATTAATTGATCATATATATTTGGTAACATGTTTCTAGTACCAAACATAACATTTATAGATATATAAGAGACACCACTGATCCAACATTATGGAGCTATAATTCTGCAAGCATCTTCAGGGCAACCCACCTCCGCCGAGACCTCCACCAGCACCAGCACCACCGCCGAACCCAGCACCCGACCCGCCACCAAGCCCGCCGCTGCCGCCACCACCCCCGAAACCTCCTCCACCTCCACCGCCAAGTCCACCACCAGCACCGCCGCCAGCACCACCACCAAACCCTGCTCCTCCTCCGAACCCTGACCCACCACCTACTCCTCCCCCAGCACCACCTCCACCGCCACCTCCAAACCCTCCGCCACCTCCAACACCGCCTCCAACCCCACCTCCCGCACCAGCACCGCCGCCAAACCCAGAACCACCTCCAGCTCCGCCTCCTAGGCCTCCACCGCCGCCGCCGCCAAGTCCGCCTCCACCTCCAGCACCACCACCGAGTCCACCACCAGCACCGCCGCCAAGCCCGCCACCACCTCCGAGCCCCCCGCCGCCGCCGCCACCAAGGCCGCCCCCGCCTCCACGTCCAGGGCGGCGGAACAGGTTCTTCCCGTCGTCAAAGGAGCCAGCTGTAGCAGTTTGGTGCAGGCTCCTGGCGCCATTGGCGGAAACCAAGAAGGCGCCGAGCAACAGAGCGAGGAGAAGCTTGGAATATTGTGTCATCGGTGGGGCAGAAAGAGTAGAGGAAAGAAAGAAAGGAAGGAATGATGGTTGAGAAAGATGTGTGGATTTGTGAGAAGAGGAGGATCGCCGGAAGTAGGGTTTATATAGAAAGCAGCAATTGAAGCGCGCGGCGCAGTATGACGATAATAATTTGGGCGGGAACTATGAGGAGGAAAAAGATCAGGGAAGTTGACTTGGTTGGAGTGCTGCTGCATTCTGTCTTCTCATCCGCCAAAACCGTGTTGATGGCGTAAATGCCATGCCCGCCCAACTATAACATGTGCGGGCCTCGATCTCGTTTCTTTTTCTCCATTTCGTTATTATGATGCATAGGGCCAGTCCGTTGCTCTCCTCTTCCCCTGAAAAGCATGGTAAAGGAAAACCGTACCGGACATCATACCGGATTCCTTTCTGGTAGGGTATTTTGTGGTACGACCGTGGTTCAACCGTTTCGTGCCGGTAAATACCGTTTTTGTAATAATAAAATATAATTTTTTGTCAAAAAACCGTGTCGGCAAAATCAGAGTACCGTCTCGGAGTAATACCGGATGTATCGGGATAATACCGGACAATAAATGACAGTAATACAAGTATAGTTAGCAAAGGAGCTATCGCCGAGGTCGTTCTTCGCCGCCTCTTCCGTGCCCTCTTCGGTGCCGATTGTCATAAAATTGTAAATCCAGCCCTCGATTCCCAGCTCTTCTGTAGGAGCGTCGGCGAGCTGCTAAGAAAGAAACATATGAAAAAGATGCGAGCAATGGCGGAAGCGGAAGCGGGTTATAGGATATTTTCCTTACCGCCGGTCTGATTTAAACCGAACGGGATACCGGAATATGCCGGTTACGCCGATTATACCGGCCGGCACGGTAGAAAAGGGCTGGTAGGGGTGCCGTTTTGTCACTGGCCCGATTTCCGGTTTTACCGGTTGAACTGGTCGGTACGATCCGGTTTCCTTTACCATGCTGAAAAGCGCTTTCTTCTGCTAGCTAGCTAGCTACTGGCTATCTCTGCCAGCTGCGTCATTTTACATCTATAATCCATTAGATTTTCGCGTATGATCTTTTGCCCAAATCATCGTGCGCATTGACCCACCAATTCGCAAATTATCTCGAAACACTATCGACGGAATCAATGAACAATAGATGACGGCAGCTACCGAATATCCATATAACATATCTATTACGCACAATCCTCGATCGCCTTCGGCCACTAAATTCACAACCCTTCTCCAAACACTACTATTGGTGGAATCCTAAGTTGTACCCATCCACCGTGTCCCAAGGGCCAAGACCGCTACCGAAAATCCATATTAAATACGCTATGTGTTGCCGAGTTTTGTATTGGGATCGAGTTTTCTTATTTCTCTCTCTCCTTTTAGTCAACCATGACAATTGAACTCAAAGTCATGGTCTTGACGAGTTCAAAGCGACTCGAACCCGACATTAGTATTTTTTAAAATTTTGTTTCCCCCCCCCCCCTTTCGTTGAGAATGACAATTGAACCCAAATCCATGGTCTTGACGAGTTTTGTATCGAGAGCAAGTTGTGTCCGCTTTTGTAGTTGGCAGGTTGGGTTAAGTGTGAATTTGTCAAGAACTCGATTCGACCAGGTTAGAGCGAGCTGAACGAGTTTTGGATCGAGAGTGCATTTTATCTACTTTTAGAATTGGCATGTTCAGCCGAGAGTGAATTGTTAAAAACTCATTTCGAAACCTGTCAAGGTGAGTTGAGCTCGGTGTGTGAAGTTTTTGTTATGGAGCGAATTTTATCCGCTTTAGTGTTTTTTATTTATCTTTTTCCTTTTGGTTGAGCACCCAAACCTATGGCCTATTGGTATCCAACCTATACAATATGATCAAAACAACTTGAACCTGGTGTTTACAACTTAAACATATAAATAATTTGCTCGACGACCCTTCTCCCTTATTCAATCTCATTTCTGCGCCGACTACTTGGAGTTGTAGATGACAAACCCTTTACTTTTGAGTGAAAATTCAAACTATTAATTTTAATATCACGTACTCACTCACACGCGAAGCGATAGCGAGCAGGCTTATACTAGTATAGGTGAGCTTCATCCATAAGACCATAACTGCTTGATGTGGTAATGGAGGTAGGGGTGTCGGTTCGGTTACCCGAACCAATACCTGACAAAACCCGAAACCGAAATCACTGAAAACCGACCCGATAAGGACTTTCGGTTTCCGGTTACCCGAAACCCAAAAATTCCTTATCGGGTTTGGTTAAAGCAAAATCGAAACCCAAAAAACCTGCAAGCGCCTAAGAATACGGGCTGAGTGCTATTTCTTGGAGATTTTTCGCCGAAACCCGAAAAACCGAAAAGCAAAACCGAACACGAAACCGAAAAACCGAAAAACAAAACCGAACACGAAACCGAAAAACCGAAAATATATCTAATCGGATCGGTTTCAGGTAAACCCGAAAAACCGAACTCGAATGGACACCCCTAAATGGAGGAAGTTGAAGTAGCGCAAAATCGTGATCGATGACCCAGTCTTGAGTCTTGACTGGCCACGGCCAATGAGCTTTAAAAAGTCAAAACCCACCCACAGTTTACTTTACTTGAGCCTACAAAGAAAATGGCAACCGGCATTAAATCCAACCGCAAACTGCAGTATCCATCACAAGCCAAAGACTTTTTTGTGTATCCAATTGAGTACTGCTCTTTATTTCATTCTGCAATAAGCCAGCTGCGACTAGCAGCCCTTTTGGCCATAAAGCGGTAGATGCTGTAGCAGCTATTTGTACATCACTGAAAACAGGAGAAGGAGAAGGAACAACTAAATCTCAGATTCTCTTTGTATTTTCTTTTTGTCTAAATTTGTATTGTAACACCTTTTGTGTCAAGTAAAGTAACAGGATTCTGGTTATGTGCCTAAAACCGGGGCAAAATCAGGTTGAAAGAGTGTGTGGATTTACAGATGAACAAGCTTATAAACAAAACAAAAACAAAAACTGGGGTACAGAAGGCCTGAATTCCTTCATTACCTTGGTGGGGGGATCTGAAAGAGATGGAAAACCCAAAAAATAATCACAATTGGCAATGTAGGATGATCACTCCTCCCCTCTGTAGCTTTCTAAACGAGTGTCCAGTCACTATCTTCTGCCGACGGGGTCTTCTCGCCAGGAGATGCACTCCCTGGCTTGGGAGGCTTGTTTTTCGAGAACAAGGACGACTTGCCCTCGAAGAAATTCGAAAATTGCTGCTTCATGGGGCTATCATCTGAACCGCTCTCGCGCCTTGGGGACGGCTTTCTCGGTTTCGGACCCAGTTTCGGGAAGCTACTGCGCTTGGTTTCAGATCCAGGTGTGCAGGCATCATCAGCCTGCTTCATTGCCTTGACGATTTCATCTGGGTTCACCAACATTGTCTCGATTGTTTCGTACACCTGCACGTATAAGCATTGTTCTTTAATCATTTGATCTATGGAACTAAGTAAGTTGATGCAAGCAAAGAATTCAAGGACGTCGACACTCTGCCGAGTACAATGTTCTAGAAGGAGTAACAAGTGGCGCAAACAGTTGAATAAAAGATGGAGCCACTTGCTGGAATATGGTTAGAGATCAAGTACTTGGGTTGAGAATGATAGAGGCTTGTGATCAGCAACTTACTTGGCAAAGGTCGTCCAGTTTGTCACTCCAGGGTCTTCCTTGACAAGTGACCACAATGTAGTCTTTGCAGTCATAGAATAGCTTTGATAAATCATCGTTGCTAGAGAGTTTTGCCTCGGCCATCAAAGTTCCAAGACCAAGCTGGACACATCACAATATTCAAGATTGTTGGTTTGCGATTGCAAAGATCTAATATACTATTGAACCTCATAGTACAATTTTTGTATGTGGAACTAGATTCCTTACCAACGAAATGAAGAACTGTTCCAAAAGCTCAGAAGGGCTGATGTTCTCCATGTGATTCAGAATCCCCTCGCTGCAGGAGATTCCATGATGTTTTTGTAAGCTTAGGGTGTACAACTTTAAATTAGAGCAGAGAAAAAGAATAGCTAACATAAAACTTACACTGCCAAATCTTCGTCAAACAAAGGAACCTGTTTAACAGCTGGTACAGATTTAGATGTTTCCCAGAGTTCACGCCACAAGTTTCCTGCCATCATCACAAAGAGACATCTATATAAAGGCCTGCTAACTTCAAGTACTTCTGGTTTCGTCCAAGAAACCCAATTCCAGCTCAGCAAACTTTATCTAACAATTGTTTCAGTGTTATACAATCTAAAGAAGATAACTGATAGGTAGAGCTTTGCAAGGACTGTATAAGTAACTATCCAGGCTTCAAATAACGTGGTTTTCGAAGGTATACCTTCTTTCTGCATTCGACTACTTAAGTAACCTCTTGTTGAAGACGAATTGCCCCCATCTGAAGAAGAAGACTCGTTTGCCTCGTCAGTTGGCTCACTGTCTGTCCAGTCAGGAGGAGAATGCCATCTCACAAAATCCTCTAATATACAGCCAGGATTGGCAGCCTAACATAAAAACGGGAACATATTCGAGCCAGTTACAACAATGAACATTCAAAAATTGGAAGCTGAATAAAACTACTTTGTTATAGACTAGGGTACTATCCCTACCTTGAAACCTTGCATGTCAGAGAGTAATTGAGAGCAACCAGCACCAACACTGCCCACAAAAGAGACATATTTAGTACACTCAAATCAGTATCCCAAGAAAGCTCACATGCAGCTTATAAGTTAAAAAACAAATTATACAAGCTCTAGTATCTGCACAATCATAAGCAGATGACACCAAAGGACACAAATATTGATCAAGAATAGTCTTTCATTCCACTATGCAATACAAGCCCTCCAAAAGTATCACTTACACCTTGTCCTTTTGTGTTTTACATAAGCATCCATTTCAAGCATGGCAAGGAGGAAGAAAGAAATCATTGTACACACCTTCCAGTTCGAAGAACAAATTCTTCTGTTTCTTTGATAAGATCTTCAGTAAGCAAAGGACCCTCCTATTTTCATGGACACCCAGGATATAAATAAAAATAAAATACTGATTCTTAGCCAGTATCTTTAGATCAAGTAACTAACCAAACCTGAGGGATAGGAGAGTATATTGGTTCACCACTTTCCAGCATAAACAGATTAGGAGCCTTCGAACCAGCACCTAGCCGAAGTACAAGTTCTCCACTGCTTGTTTTGGCATATAATAAATGCCCAGGAGCATTTAGACCTTTAGCATATTCAGCAGAAAATTTACTGGCGTCCCTTAATGCAGCTTCCATTGATTCAGCAGCAATCGCATGACGCTTTTTCCTGGAAACACAGCAATTGATAACTTGAAACTGCTGGTATAGAAGGCAGGAATGGAGATCTGGAAACTCATCCAGAGGGATGCCTGGTACATGGAGTTCTTCAGCCCAGAGTCTTCTGAGCTGCATGCGTAATGGGAGACAGTTAGCTAAACTGGCTAAGGTCACAATGAAGTATCTCCATTTTGCTTTTCCTTTTCCTGAATAAGAAACTTCATAATCTAAATAACAATATTAACTTGTAGAAAGTCTAAAAAAAGGTCCATAATTAACTGGGTTGTTTTGTAAGCATTACAACTAATGAATAATCAGGAATGTTGATAAAAGCTTTTGTGATATAGGGACACTGACAAATCACAGATGTTTCCTAATCCAACCCTTTAAACAGGTAATCTGAAGCTTCTAGCTGACTAGATAGTACCATGACGTTCTACAGCTGACATGTTATTTAAGTTTCCTTATTACCATCAGAATTGTATTTTATGAAAAACCATCAGGAATTTATAATAAATAGCTCACTTACTTCAGCAACAATTTTGTTCCACAGGATGGCCATTTTCCGCAATGTTCTAAAGCTTCCAATTACTTCAGATAGCTTTACCAGGAAGCTGCCAGGGGGTGCACCATGAATGTCTTTAATCAATGATAATGAATCCTCGCTACAGCTGACATTCCTCCTGAGAAAGTCCGCCTCTGCGAGAATCTTGCAGATATTACCATGGAAGTGAAAGATCATCACAGGATAGACTAAGATAGTACAGACAAACACAAACGTAGGCATAAAATGAAATTAAAATGAGACACAGTAACAACTGAGGTAAAAAAGTATCAATTTACCTGCATCAAACAACGACTGCAAGATGGATAAAACCTTCTCGTGGTTCTCAAACTCAGATGCAAGCTTCTCGTCCTTATCACGGAGCACCAATGACTTCATAGCAGCAAGGCTTAAGCTTGCCCTCTCCTTCATTGGTGAAGACCTTCCAGAAGACACCACAAGATCTTTTATTGACTTGTATTTTTTCCCCGCACTACAAAAAGGGAGCAGAAGCAAAACCATAAGTAATTGCAAAGAATTGTCCATTACAGGAAATGTGTCTTCTAGTGAAATGCCCCTGTGATTCATGGAAACAGTACAAACATGGAAGTACTTGGAGTGTACAGTAAAAGTGAGAAAATGAAGATACTAGACAATCAAGGAAAACTACAGTAGAATCTTACTCAATAGCGATAGCCAATTGCTTCATGACAGATGCTGGAGGGATGCTGTCTGGAGTTGTGGCATTTAATCTTTCTACTATGTAAGGTACTTGTGATGCCTACAAATGACAACCCACAAGAACCAGAGGATTTGTTTGATCCAATCAAAAAGGGAAACAACAAGCTATTAGTCCATTCACTCATCAGCATACTTCAATTTGCAAGTACTCGCGCAACGGAAAATGCACGGTATTCAACTTACCTCCAAACCTAGGACAAGAAACGTAAGCACCAAAGGAAAGGAACGGAGAAAGACAATGAAAGGGGTACGAGCAAAGTATCTCACCTTGTTCTCAGCATCATTTTTCATCTTCAGTATGTACAAATTCTCATCATAAAATGCAACCGCCATCTGTGAATCATCAACTTTTTCTGCCGGGATTTCACCTCCTTTTTTCCCTATTCTAATATTTTTAAATCGGTCCTGCCAATCGTGCTTGATTCCTATGGGTGCAGGCTTCCACCTCAAGTGCTTCCCTTCATTGTTGCTCTGCACCAAGCGCAAACTACTCTATTAGCATTGAAAATTCCGCACCCTCCTTGACTAAGCTCATTCATCTCAAAGACTACTCAGAAACTAGACAGCTTCGGACTGGAAATTAAGAAGTTCTTTCATCTGCGGGCAAGAAAAATCTCCATCGTTCTATATCGTCATGACTAAGCTGCTTGATTGCTGAATAAGGAAAATGGAATTTTTATTCAAACAAAAAAAAAAACAAGATAGAAACATCTCCCATAAGCACAAGCAACCCTAACTTGACCCAATCCACGCCATCTAATAATTGAATCCAGAAATGGAACGATTCCGCCTCTCCATTTCGTCAACTCAAATTTTCTCAGCAATCAAACAGAAAAACTACAACAACAACAACAAAAAATTCAAAAAATGCACTATCAACTTCATTATCCAAACCTACATTTCACCGGAATCCAAAACGAAACAAATGAAAAAATCGGAAGTTCATCTCCCATGCTGACCTTAGACTCGCTTTCGTTCCTCGGGGACTGCTTCTCCGGCTGCTCCCTCCGTTGTTCCCTCGGCGATTGCTTGTTGTCAGCATCTACTCCGACGGAAACGCCGACAGAATGAAAATTAACAATCAGAAAATATCAACCCAAGCAACAACTTGCAGACGATGGGAATAAAAATGAAGGGAAAAAAGTCAGGGTGAAGGAGAAATTTTGAGAGCGTGACCGTAAATAGATAAACAAAAAAAAAAAAAGGATGGCAGAGAAACTAGAGGGCGGAAAATTAGGAACGCCGAGAAAGAAAGGGGAAGGGCTAAGAATCTGAGAGAACCTGATCGGTCGGATTTCAAATCGGTGAGAACGCGCTCGGCTCGTGCCGCAGCAGAATGGAAGGCGGTCCGTGCTTTGGAGGCAAACGAAGGAGACTCCATTGGTGAATATCAGCAGCTTCTCCTTCTCCTTCGGCCTGCCGTGGCGGGCGAGATCAGCGGAAATGAGAGTAGGTGAGAGGCGAGAATGGAGGCATTAGTTTAGTGATGACGGAGAGAGAGAGAGACGGCAGGGGAAAGAGTGTTGAGAGAGTTGCGGAAATTGGAGGATGCTCGTCCTTTTTTCTGGAAATTTTAAATTCTTCATTTTTTCTCTTTTGTTAGCAAAAAAAAAAAAAAATTTATATGGAGGTTCATATGCCTACTTGTCACACACGTCTACACGTTTGGGTTTTAAGCAGAAATGGATGAATTTTTTTATGGGAATTTTGAAGTTAAAGGTGTTTAAAGTGGATCCATGTAAATATTAGTAACCTCTTAAAAATTATCATATGGTCTCTTCCTCTACCTGGTCGGTTCAGATTCGCCTTAGACACTGTTGTTCATCCTTATCGAGGTTGTGATATATATATGGTTGGTGGTGAAGTCAGCAGATGACCGTATGCACCTTGTTATTGTTCTTCGATATCATGGGATTGTTGACTCATACCTAACTGAACAACTAGCTGCTCGAGATGGCACGCTCTCGATTTGTAAGATCGACATCCATAGTATTTCATACCGTCACACTCGAAGTGGATTACAAACTCATTGTTTGCTAGCTTTTTAGAGGGGTAGATTCAGATGCAAGTGGAGGACCGATGCTTAGAAATTAACTGCAAATATTAATATCAGGGTACCCCTCTGCCTTTTTCTCTTCATTAATTGTGGTCAACTCATCTAAATTAAAAAATCATTCAAACCAAATAATTTTATTGATTGTAGATACTAAGAAAAAATGTTAGCACACTAATCCCAACACTCTCTAAGCTAACCTAAAGCTATATTGATATGGGGTCGTTTGGATGAGTTAATTGTCAATGTGGTATTTGTAGAGTCAAATAACTCATTTATTATTCATGTGATATTTCAGTGTTATTTCAATGGTAATTGAAATAAAGTATCTCGTTTGGTTGAACCATGCAAATGTGGTATTCGACATGTGGTATTTGGTAAAAGCAGAGTGATAAAACGAGTTATTTCGAAATAACACATGAGTATAAGTTATTTTAAATAACTCGTTTTGAGTTATTTGTAAATAATTCACTGTTCAAATAACTCATTTCAATAAAACGTTACCAAACGAATTATTTGTGCCCAAATAACTCATACAAATACTCCATCCAAACGACCCTATAAACTATTAAAGAAAAAATCTATCTAGATAATAAATAAAAGCCGAATGATGAAAACTGTTGCTCCATTTCAAATTTCCTGCAACGAGAGTGATTATAGGAAGGACATTTTGGTCTTCACAATTGCTTATTTTCTTATTTATTTATTCATAAAAAAGGCATGCACTGGGATTTGAATCTTGGTCTCTTTAAAGGCAAGCAAGGATCATAACCAATCACACTAAGTATATTTGTTGTATCTATTTAAATTCAAACATACACGAACCTAAATTATGAAAATCATATGATTTTTTTAACGATTAGTTGGCCACTAAATCTCCCGTAAGTACTTATTTGGTGTTTTAATACTTTGATTATTTTAGTTGTAGTTTAATACTTAATTTAAATTTCTATCTATTTTATAAATATACAATAACCCTAAAATTGCAGCCCAAATATCACTGGTTCGAATATTGCATATCGAATTGCAATATTAAACATGTAGAAGCAATATCGACTTCTTAAATTAATATTATTTTTCAGAATTACTATGGAGAAATTATATCTTTGTGCAAACTATATGAGACTGGTTCTTTTAATGTTTTAGTCGGGATAACCGCTACATTTTAAACTTTTTCATAATCTGGCATGATTGGATCCAATGATCATTATACAAGATTGTGTTTAATAGGGTGGCTCATTTCACCACTTTTTGGCGTGTTAATGAATTTGTAGGACAATGACAGGTCTACATTTACACTCATCACAATCTACACATCATATAAATGTGAAATGTGAAATGAGAAAAGAGGGATTCCATTTCACATTTGATGCGTACAGAGCAATTTTTTAGGGGTAAATTTAGAAGATGCCAGTGCGGTCGGTCTGTTGAGCACGAAAGTAAAAATATGTTTTCATTTAAACGGACCCAAACTGTTATTTGGCCCACTAATCGTGCACCCATCGCCAATGCAGTCAAATTCGGGATTTTGATCGTAAAATCGTAGAATTTTAGGATTTTACTTAGGGATTCCGATCTTGATTTTACTATAAAATCGGTGGACCTTAAAATCGTTTAAAATCGTTAAAATTGTAAAATAGTACCGAAATCGGGATTTTGATCGTAAGAGAACAAAATAGGTGGTTTGAGCCAATTTAAAATAAGTATAACTGTTTCAGCGGAAAGGGCAATGGAATCTTCTCAGATATTTTTCTATTAGAAAAATATTCAAAAATAATAAAAATAACCAAATTAGGGTTCGGTTAATCTCTTTCCCTTCACCCCATTTAACTTATTGGTAAAACACCTGTCCTAATATTGGAAGTATGTAAGAACTAACATCATTATTAACTAATTAATTTATTAATGAATATATTTGTACCAAGCCACTAACATTACTTATTTTATTGGAGTTCAATTATTTTTAGTTTTAAATCATACTTAGTAGACGATGTCGAAATATTACTTTGAGTTAAACAACCTAGACATAACATGAAAATAAGAGCCAAACCCATGAACTATATCCCTTCATCATGAATTATTTTGAGTTACACATTAAATAACAATTAAAATAGTGATTTTGGAACATTAATCTTGAGAATTATCTTATGGAAAAAAAATCTTCTGAATTATCATTTTAAATGCTATGTGTCTTTGTGATATTAATAATTTACCTTATTAATATTCTTATATGCTATGTTCTATATGGTACTTAAAATCCTACGATTTTACGATTCGATTATACGATTTTAATTTTACCCCAGTTTTCGATTTTAGATAAAATCTCGATTTTAACTGCTTTGCCCATCGCAGCCTCTCCAAATCTTCCTATTCTACTCCCCGGGTCATCTCCTCCACTACAAAATATCTCCTCATGTACTCAAAGTTCTCACTGAAACCTAATATCTACAACTTAGGCGCAGAGGGAGCAACCGATGGATTGTAGCGACCCCCACTATTTTGATAGCTAATCAAGAAGAGCGCGTTTGTTTAGTTGTATGGTGATTCACTTAATTAACAATTTTTATTCCGTTGACAGCCTCCTCTCCGCAATTGTATTGTGTTCACGAAGATCTGAAGGCGCAAGTGCAACAGGTCCAGGGGTAAACAATATGTATAAAGCGTTGGCCAAATTGAATTGAGTCATTCTACTTGGAATATGAAGATTTTTGCTTAATTGCTTTGGTTCGTGATGCAACTATGTTATGTTTGAAGGTAGACCAACGCAAACAACAACACAGCTCCAGGGCTATTCTGCACATTAGGTAGTTGGGGCATTAATTGATAATTATTTGGGATTATTCCTACAAGTACATAATTTGGAACGTGCCTTTATATTGCATTGATTAATAGTTGTTTGAGATTTTTCAAATGAGTGATTTGACATGTTAAACTCTCTTATTTTTGAAAATGGATTCTTCGAAGTGGAATATGAAGATTTTGGATTAAGCTTCGTTTCGTAACGCCCTTATGAGTGTTTATTCTCTAAAATGCAGCTGTCTTTCAAAGTGCCCGTTGCAAATGGCAAGTCAGGATACAACGATGGTACCGGTATACGTTTATATCATTAGTAGGTAGCAGATTGTGTCCATTCTACTATATCATTTAGCTAAATACTTAGTTGTTCTTTTCAACTAAAAATTATGCTTAAATGCTGTGATTGGCCTCAGAAATGTATGTCTTTGCATTAACTGTTAATGATTGTGAGTTTTGGTTTAATGGTGAAAAGTCCATTTATTTAGAAGTCTAAATTGGGCAAACCTATTGGACAATAGGAATGCCATACATTAGTGTCGTGGGAGGTTTGTTTGATGTCTCAGGGTGTTAGATTTTTAAGAAGGTTGTTTGTTGTGGCAGAGAGTCCCTAAAGCTAGCGAGGTGTTCCTATGTGGGCTTTTTCTTTGTTTGACTTTTTCTCGCCTTTTTTCTTATCTCTTTTTCTATTTTTGGTTTTTGTGTCTTCATTTGTGAGCCATCTATACTTTTCTTATTCACTGCCTAAAAATCATATATACTCGATTGCATAGTAGTTACTAATAGATACATTTATACCAATAGAGAGATTTTAAGTTTTATCAGTTGTTAGTTTTAATATTTACTTACATTGGTTGTTTATGTAGTTTTCTTTGTAATATTTCTCATTATACAACTAATTACTATGGCCATGTAGTTGTATAAGTGGGGGTTGGACATGATAGTTCTTAGAAGCATCAATACTTGAAGGTTATTATAATGACCAAATTCTAAAGTTATGGTTTGCCTTCAACTTGCTTGGAGCATTTCAATTATGCATCAATTGTTCTCTCCGTGTAGTTAACTCTCAGAAAAATCGAAAATCTTGCTGATATGTGCTTGATTGTAGTTAAATTTAGGGTTCTACTGCATTGTTGCTTTACTCTTTTTTCGTGGTTGAGTCTGCTTCAAAAAATTTAGTTTGATTTTAGAAAATTTTGCTTCTGCAGTCCTGTCTTGCCACCAACGCGTTCAATAGATGGAGACGGGAGAGGCGAAGGCTATTTTTGTGTTGTTGTTGCTGGTTTAGGGATCGGTTTGTGAAGAAGAGGGAGAAGAGAGGGGGAAAAGGAAATGCAGGAGAGGGGGATAACTCTTTTCTCCGACAAAAATGGAGTGAAGAAAGGAATTATGATCAGTAAGAATATGGTTATCTTACATAACGGTCTCTATTCTGTTTGAATTGAGCTTGAGAGGCAGTGATAAGGACGAGCTGCAACCAATTCATAGTGAGAAGAGAGCTATGAACTGTGATCATGTCTTATTTCAAGTTAGAAGGTAGTTTCAGTATAAGGATTATTTAATTTGACAAGTTGTTTCGTCCATGATTCTTGGTAGTTTCAGTGCCATTCTAGCCAATGTTTAGTCTGTAATTTTTGAGAATTGATGTGCGAGTAATGACTTTCACTTAGCTTCAACTATTATGTGTGTATTTATTGGCATGTGATAGAATTCTCTTTTCCTTTTCATTGAATTCATTTTCATACTCTAATTGTATTATTTGTACATAGGCAAATCATGCTCGAGATGGCAACTCGCTGATATGGCTGGTGCAAGGAATGAAGCCATCATTAGAATTCAGACCGACAACGGGGAGGGATGCCCAGGACTAATTCAATGATGATTGATGATGGTATAATAAAAACTGCAGTTTGCATCAGCACCAATTTCTAGGCCTAAGTAAAGGTATTCAACCCAGAACTCTGCTTAGCGCTAAAAATTGCCCTCACCCAACCTTGATCCTGTTTGACACACTTCTGAAGAGTCAAGATATATGACTAATCCTCCCCGTTCGTATTTTCTTATTGACTCTTTCTGACCCTGTAGGTTGGGGCGGGGCGGGAAGAATTGGATTAGTGGGTCGGTCCTAATCAAGTGGAATCCCAATCCCTTCACTCTCACTTGCTTTCTCTCCCATTCCACAAGTGGGTAACATACAGTAATCCAGCCAACGGGCCGGGTAATAAGCTAGTAAACTATTAAAGAAAAAAGGAAAGGCATTGGGTTAATTGGAACAAAATAGAGCCGCGCGAGTGGTTACCGAAAAGTATATAATGGAGAAAAGACAAGCGTCCCATCTCCTTCCTTCTACTGCAAGACTCAACGGTCAATACTGTTTCTGAGTCCAAGTGCGAGTTGTGCGACTCATCTCTGTCAGCTCTAAGCTAAACTCGAGCAACTAGAGAATTTGAATTCTCCGAAGATCAGCAATGGATGAGGAAATGGACGAAGCGGATACCCAATCTCAGGTCGAATTCCTGTTTATCTCATCCTTTTTGTTGCTTCTGCGTAGTCTATGAACCACTGCCTCAGCTAATTTTTCCGGAGGATTCGCCTTCCTAGTTCAGTTGGAGTTGATTTAGAACTTCTTCGGTTACAATCGCAATTCACGAATTCGTCGGTAGAGCATAGTAGAAAGAAGTCGTCGCACTTCAATAAGGAATTCTACTGGTTTTGGTAGCAATTTTCCGTTTGCCGGTTCTGGAATTGAGTTCGGTGGATTCGGCTGAGCTCTTTTCCTCTTTGCAACAGACGTTCTTTCCACTTAGAAAGTCATAGTGTCATGGACTTGCCCGTCGCTTGTTTGCCATTGCACATGCTTAGGGAGTTCCCGTGAACATCAACTAAACCTAGATCTGCTGTGTGGGGGAAAGGATGCGTGGATGAGTAGTTGATATTCTGGTAGAGGGAGGATGCAATGAGATCTGATTCACTGATGGAATGTACTGAATTTGTCATTGCTACATCATTTGAATTGAATGTTCATTTCTTTCAAGCAGCTGAAGTTTTGGAAATATGGTTCTGTTACAAAGTCTCTGCAGCTGACTGCTTGGATTTTTCATTTGAACATGAATGCAGGTGTATATGGCGTGCATTCTCCATGGGCATCGGTAAGTTGTTTCTTGCATGACCTGACTTTTGTTCCTATATGCATGTCTTAAGATGGAGTAGAGATGATGGAATCTTTTCAGAAATCTGTACGATATGGTGTGTGTTTGTAGTGCTTCTAAGGATGCTCTTGGATGGCATAATTTGATCTGCGGTAGTTTGATGGTCAGTGGTCACAGTGATGGTGGAAAAGGGTTAAGCTGTTGCATCTTTGTTTCCATTTTGAAGATTCATTAGGATTGATAACCAGAGCAGTCACTTGCAATCTTCCATGCAGGGTCGGAATTGCTTATTACGACTCGAGTATCCGTCAACTCCATGTCCTTGAAGTTTGGGAAGATGGCAACTCTGATTTCCCCCTAATTGATCTTGGTACATATTCTAAGCCTTCTAATGGGATGTGATCCATCTACTTGAATTATCTTTCAACTTTTCATGCTGGTATTTTCTGAAGATGCTTCCTGTAAGTTTATTTATTGGGGAAATACTTATGATTCAATCTTCTTCAGTTCTTCTGACATATATGTTATTCTTCGAAAATTTTATAGTCTCAATTATCTTCTGTTTCTGTTTGGTCCAATGGCGACTCAGTGAAGTATCAGGCTAGGCCCCAGATAATCTATGCAAGCACCAAAAGCGAAGAAAGTTTCTTATCAGCCCTGCAGCAAAATGGTATGAGGCTCTTCTATCTGGTTTACTCTGAATTAGTTGTGTGTAAGTCATATTTACTTCCTATAGTGATTCAGATGGCACGACTGAGGCCCCTACACTAAAATTGGTGAAAAGTTCTATATTCAGCTACGAACAGGCATGGCACAGGTATCCCGATTCCCTCTATCTATCTTTATTTCTGGTGGCTGGTATGAATCATATTAAGATCGCTGTCAACTTATGAATAATCCATGTTATGATCTTTAGCCTGTTTATAGCTTCTTATCGTAAAATGTTTTCCTCTGTACAAGAAGAGCGAAAAAAGCAAGATGGTGATCTATTGCTGACATTTCGCTTGGATTGCATAGGTTGATATACCTTAGAGTAACAGGAATGGATGATGGGTTAAACATCAAGGAGAGGATCTGCTACGTAAGTTGCATGCAGCAAACACTTCCCTCTCTTTTTCGAGATTCATATAGAATATTTATACCTTAACTATTAAGTTTACACTTATTCCTGCACTTTCAATCTGGTAAGTTATCATCATCAACATGATAACTTTTTTATGCCAAGCTCAATTTTGTTTCATTCTATGTAATTGGGACTTTATGTGGGCTTTATTGTTTGCATTGTTTCAGTCAGATGCTTGTGTTATTATGCCAATTTGTTAAGATATTAACAGAGGTTTGGGAACATAAACCATCTCTAGTTTTTTTATTCATTCTCTTAGTTCTTGCTAGACTAGATTATCATGTAGAACATGAATATTAAATTCCCTTTCACTTCATTTATGGGAGACTTGAAGCGGTTGGTAGTTTGATAAATCCCAACAGTATTAAATTGTGGGATTCTGATGCTTCCTTGGATAAAGTTTCTTTCTCTATCATTGCCACAGCTCAGTTCCATGATGGATATGAATAGTGAAGTTCAAGTTCGTGCCAGTGGTGGTCTTCTTGCAATATTAGAGAGTGAGATGATTGTGGATACCCTTGAGCACCAAGAATCAGGGCGACCATCAATTACCATCGACTCGTTAGCAGAAGTATCATTGTATCTTTTTGCTGGAACAGTTTATTTCTTTATACCTTTACTATCTTTTCTGTCTTGCCTTTCCATATGAAATCAATTATGCCAATGGTTCTGAAAGCGAAATTGGACTAATATACTTCCTTAACATCCGTAAGAAACAAATTTCTTAAAGTCGATGCAACAGCTCATGAGGCTTTGCAGATCTTCCTGTTGGACAAACATCCTAGCCATATGGGGATTGGTAGAGCAAAAGAAGGGTAATTACTAATTTCTCATTCCGGTGCCCTGGTCTTTACTTTTGTCTTCATGCATTTGATTCTCTGTGATCAACATGTACTGATTCTTGGCTTACAGGTTCTCTGTATTTGGCATGATGAATAAGGTTTGTCAGAAACATTTATATTTTTTATGTATACATATTTTGGTGAACTTATTTTAAGGTATTTTGTGGATTGGACTGACATAATTTTTCATACTCAGTGTCTAACTCCGGTTGGTCGACGCCTTCTGAGGTGAAACTCTCTTTAAGATGCTGCTAATTAGTTCTTCTCGTGCTTCCAACATAATAATTTATTGGTTTACATGCGTTAGAAACTGGTTTCTGCGGCCCATACTAGATTTGGAAATGTTAGATCGTCGTCTCAATGCTGTATCCTTCTGTTATTTCCAAGAAAGAAGGCTACTGAACTAAATTTCATTTGAAAATCTTACTTTGGGCGTGGATGGAATTTGGTGTTCCTTAATTGTGCTTAGATTTCATTTTTCCTATGTTCTGAAGAACTAATGGCTTCTTTACGTGCAACATTGAAGTCAATCAAGGACATTCCTTACATTTTGAAGGTACTACTTAGTATTTATTTTCTGCAAATCAATGTACTGATTTTCCTCTGATTTATATCTCATAGGTTCTTGATTCCAAGATGAAGTTTCGAGTTTAGTGCGATTGTAGCTTTGTTATAGTCTCATCGATACATGTAATCCAAATCGTAGTTGTTGGTGACGAGAAAGGATGCCTGTAAATAGCATCCTATGTTATTTGATGAATTGCATTATATCTACGTTAACTGCAGTTATTATATATCTTTTGTAACTCTAAGATGGTAACTATTACTTCTTGAAGAAATTCAACTCTCCAAGCTCCGCGTGCAACATTAGTGATTGGTCAGCCTTCTTGAAGGTAGTCCTACTCAATCATACTAGCATTTTATTTTTCAATTCTTTATTTGTTTAAACAAATTGTAAGCTGCTGACATTCAAGGTAATCCAGTGTGTTCGTAAATAGATTTATCTTTGAATCTTGAAGTCTTCCTTTGGATCTCTGTTAGAGTTTCTCTTGAATGGTTATCCGTGGATTTTTTCTTAACTATTACAGTAATCTCTCTTTTCCCAGAGCATTGGTTCGCTCCTGCATGTGGAGAAACTATTTCAGACAGGCGTTTCTGGAAACCTACAAGAGCATGCACAGTACTTAAATTTGGATATCCTCGAGCAGGTATGAAATAGTCTGGGAAAGCATTTGTGCTATTTGACTTGCCTTACTCTTGATGTCTAATTTTTCTTTGCATCTTTCATTTGTATTTCAGGCTTCATCATGCATCACTACAGAGCTAGCTTATGTCTATGAATTTGTGAGTTTTGGTGCAATCTCATCTTCTCATAATTAATTGTGCTAAGTCTTGGGTTTTTCCTGGTACAATCTCGCCTTTTGATAACTATTTCTACAATAGAATGTGTTGATTGTGGGTTTGCGTGAAGTTTCGTGAAGCCATCTTGGTTCCCTTGACCTGAAAGCTTCTTTGCCTGGGTACAGTTTTAAAGAGTTATCAGATGATCATGGATAATCAGTATCATGGAATCAGATGATCCCTTCATTTCCTAGGAGCTTTATGCTTTCATGTTCTGGTCAAGCCTTAATAGGGAAACATAATGTCTTTATATAGGGTTCTAGGAAATTGCTTGTCTGATGTGGGCCTATGATACGAGTCGTTAGTTTGTTGTCAGTATGCACATCAACAAGAAGGATGGACCATGGAAGAGTTATGAACTCTACCAAATGATGATAATATAAGACATGAGGCATATATCTTGCTCTGCGATATGTCATTGGTTCATTCCGTGCTTTTGCGCAGTAAATCTCACACCAGTGAGCTGTTGTTTTTCCGTGCTTTTGCGCTCGATGGTTCAGAGTTTTTGTTTGAATCATGCACTCGTATCATAATAGTGATGAAAATAATTACTGAAACAATGACTACTGAAGATTTAATGCTCACCTTTCTGAACGTTGCTGTTCTTTTGTTTCCATCACTTCTTATGCATGGATGCGTCTTTGGAAGGTTATTGGTATAATTGATGTTACTAGAAGCAAAGGCAAAGGTTACGAGACAATGGTAAAGGAAGGCTTATGTGAGGAGGTGCGGGATTCGTTTACCTACTCTGTATAAGATGTCTTGGTCCTCTGTTCTTCGCCTATTTCCTATGTGTTTTTCTGAAGTCTCGTAGCTGCTGAGGCTACCTGTATTCTGATATAATCTCGTAGTTTTTCTTGCTGAATATACTCTGATGCACCCATATATTTCATCAACAATTATACTGCTCACATTTAAGATTTGGGTCACTGATGTTCTGTGCCAAATCTAGCTGGATGAGCTGAGGCAAATCTACGATGAACTTCCTGAATTTCTCCAACAGGTGCCCTTTGAACCATTAGTAATCAGGAAACTTATATTAGAACTTAAAATTGATTAGCTTTTGAGATCCAAACTACTGATATAAACATTCTTTGCAGGTGTCATCAGCAGAGCTTGCACAGCTTCCTCATTTGAGTCGAGGGGAACTTCTTCCTTCTATAGTGTACATGCAGCAAATTGGTAGGTTCTTAAGTTCAGAATATCCAAGTATCCATTTAGTTCTATACATGGTGGATGGATCTTTGAGTCGAAGCGATACAATATTTTCACTTATGTTGATATCTGTGTACAAAATAGGTGGTTGTACATGTATAATGTTTTGTGCCAGAGTAGCAATAGGACGGAATCATATTTCTTGACAAGCATGACCTTTGTCTTTTTGGAGGTCCTAGTAATAAGGGTTTCAGTTATTCCCTGTTCTTTTATACTTCAGTGTTGTAGGTTTAACTATTCATTTTCTACTACTTTCCGTTTTCAGGTTATTTGTTATGCATTTTTTATGAAAAACTTGATGATATCTCACTTGCAAAGCTTCATGACTGTGAATTTGTGGTAAGTTTCTACTTGCATCATCTTTGAATCAATATCCGGAAAATCCCCACACCTTGATTTTTATAAATTGTATGCTGGATGTAGTTTTCTGATGCTGATGGGCAGACTGAAAGATTTTTTTATCGTACGCCGAAGACTAGAGAATTGGATGAACTTCTGGGAGACATATATCATAAAATTCTAGGTAAAAGTTTTAGAATTGTGTGTTTCTCATCTAATAAGTTCTATCAACCACATTTGATGAATAGCTTCGATATTGATCTCCCGAAGAAACTTCATGCTCAATGTTGACTGTATGATAACTTAGAGCAACCTAGTTCTGTACTTGGTTACAGTTCAAGAACAAGCACCAAGAAGATGTACTTGATACTTTATATCTGTAATCTTAATACTTGATGATCTTCTAACCCCCGTTTCTTGTTTTTTGTTTGCTTGCTTTTGTTTTTCCCCATTTAATCAACTATCAAAGACATGGAAAGAGCAATTACTAGAGATGTGGTCTCACATATACTTCAATTTTCCGTACAAATGCTGAAGGCGATTGATTTTGTAGCTGAACTTGATTGGTGAGAACAGTATACTCTCTCCAAACTCACTTTCTAAGAGTTTGGGGTTTTACATGATTGTACATCAAACTAACCACAACTAAGTGTTTCCTGTTCAGTCTTCTGTCATTGGCTCTTGTCGCTCGCCAGAACAACTACGTGAGACCTATTTTAACTGAAGAAACCTTGATTGATATACAAAACGGAAGGTGAGAGTTACTTCATTTACTAATATTTATTTCTATCATAGCCGTATTTGGAAGTTAACACCATCTTCCAGACATGTTTTACAGGAAATGACTGTTGACACATTCATTCCTAACGATACGAAGATTGTTGATGAGGGTAAATCAATTTAAATGATAAAAATCCCTGACAAAACATTGCATGTCCGGAAAGAATTCTAGAATTTAGGAACTATTTATTTTCTAATATCCGTGATGCTGATGCTTTAGGAAGGATCAACATCATCACTGGCCCTAACTATTCAGGGAAGAGTATCTACATTAAGCAGGTCAGTGATTATAGCCTATCCGTGCTCATTTGTCTTTCATATAGCCGATCCCGGTTATCTTACCATTATGTGGTCTATCATCTGCTCTTACTTTTTTCGCTTGTTGAATTGCTTCTTGCTTTGTCTTCAGGTGGCTTTGATCGTCTTCCTTTCCCACATTGGCAGTTTTGTTCCTGCAGATGCTGCAACTATTGGGTTGACTGACAGGTGTTCGACCTTTGACAATTCGTTTATGTCTATCAGGTTGAAAAATGTGTCTAACTGGGCCCATGAACTATTGTAACAGGATATTCTGTGCGATGGGAAGCAAACTTATGACTGCAGAACAGTCAACATTTATGATAGACCTACATCAAGTAGGAATGATGCTAAGGTACATCTAAATTGTCTAGTTGGCTTTATTTCCTTGAACTTTCTACAATTGCTTGCATGTGACGGTGATTCTTGTTGATCTTAGTGGAATTTTGCATCTTTGTTTGGAAGCTTATCCATATGTTAATGTCTTAGTAACAACGTTGCAGTTATGGAGTTATAACAAACGTAACTAGTTAAGTACAAAGCTTGTGACAATGTTTTTGTTCTCCATTTCAGGCAGTCAACCTTCCGATCCTTGTGTTTGCTGGACGAATTTGGCAAAGGTACCCTTACAGAAGGTTAGTTTGCTCGCACAATTTCATATCCGGGATTAAATCTTGGTAAATTTTCTTTTTGTTCTTTGTAATGAATTAATTCTATTTGCAATCTTAATGACTGCACTGTAGATGGCGTTGGTCTACTTGGTGGCACCATAAGTCACTTCATTGCTTCTGAGGACCCTCCTAAGGTCTGAAATTCTTCTATGCCTGCCCTGACAGCTGTTTCCTTTTAAACACTCGACTCACAGGCACAAGGTTATTTTTGTGCTAATACCTGCTACATTAACATCAATTTGTATGCTACATTAACACCTAGAACTTTCTTTTAGCGTGCTAAACAATCATGCTTTACTGAAGTACCACATCTGCATTGTGCACCAAGTCAACCCTCAGTTGCTTGGCAATGATGAAACCATCATTTGAATGCTAGTTATGTTGATAAACACTCCCAAATTGTTTGCCGAACCCATTGTCTTTGGTAAATATAAATAATTGCCACTATGTAGCAACTTAGATGAGTTGACTTAGATTTATATAATTCTCTTGCAGTCCATGTGCTCTGCCTCACAATGTTTCCCAAGTTCTCCAAGGATTTATCTGTTAAATTGATTGTGACTTCTCATTTCTAAACTCTATGATCATCTTCAAATTCCACCTTGTGGTGACAATACAATAACCAAGTTTTGATTGAGCCTAAAAGGTTGCACTAAATTTGAGCTGCAGCACAATCAGACTGTAATATTAGAAGCAGAGATAGACAAGATACAAGTTAATTAACTGTTCACCTAAGTAATTCTGGGTTTTGGATGCACGTTAACAGGTTCTGGTGTGCACTCACTTGAGCGAGCTATTCAATCAGAGTTGCTTGCCAGAGGTATAAACTCTTGCTGAGTAGCTTCCAGGATGTAGAATTGTCCTCTCTAATTGCTTTCATACTGTACAATTGAGATGTGTAACCCTTTTAACATGCAGTCTGAGAGGGTGAAGTTTTACACCATGAGCGTGTTGAGGCCTGACGACAACTCTGTGGGTTCTGAGGACATTGTTTTCCTGTACAGGTAATATAAAATCCTGTAGACTTCCTGCCACATTTAGACAGAGCTGTATAGCACATTGCTCAGAAGACTGTTTTGAAAATTGAGATTTGCATTAGAGAGCCTCTGGCGGCGTGATTGTCTTATCACATATGTCAATTTTGTTAGGTTGTTGGATTCTCATAGAAAGAGTGCGCTAAATTTTCTTTATTTTCTATAAATTATGATTATGTAACAAAATCACGCCCTAGTGCCTTCAGCTTGTGTATGTTTTCAATTATTATGTTTCTGGCAGAAGTGTCGAGGATGTTCTGAAGTATAATTGACTTAAAATGTGTTTCCAGGCTAGTTCCAGGACATGCACATCTTAGCTACGGTGAGTGTATTCAATATGTACCATAATCATACATGCTGCGATCTTTTAATGACACGGACTGTGCTTCTTTTTGCAGGACTGCACTGTGCTTTACTTGCTGGTGAGTTAAAACTTAGCAACTTAACAACTTAGCAAGAAAACTTCCACTTCAGTAGGTTTCCTGGGACAGTCTGCATGAGGCAAGACACCTCAACGGAGCAGGATATGTCCATAGAACGTTGAGAACATGTTTGTAGGTCAATATCACTGAATTTGGGATTTTCAGTCACACCTGACCGCTTCGTCACTGTAGGTGTTCCCGAAGAAATTGTAAGGAGGGCAGCACTCATACTGGAATCTGCCATGGAGAGCACCTCTGTGGAGCGATTGTGCAGCGACAGTATATCTGCTCAAGATCAGCTGTACAAGGTAGCTCCAGATCGATAGTGAATCATTGGTTCTGCGAGATACAGTCTTTGATTGTCCGAATCTCAGCTGGTAATATGTTTTACCCAGGATGCTGTGGACAAGATGTTGGCATTTGATGTTGACAATGGCGTTCTCAACCTCTTCTTCAAGGAGATCTCCTTCTAGTGACTGATAGCGGCGGGTCAGAGGTATCCTCTCATCTTATTCGCTTCTATAACCCAGCAAACAGGCTGTTATAAACTGCCTTTTTAACTACACAGTTTTTTGTTATACCCATTTCTTGTCTCGAAAACCTTCGGCGAAGTGAATGAATCGTGGTTCATATTTCCCATTGCTCATCAACTAGAAAATCTTGTCACCTTCCAGCATAAACCCAATATTTTTAGGACTTAAACAATGTGTCTGCATGTGGCAACTTTCATACAACCTTGGACTTACAGTTACATGCATGCATTTGCAACAACAGTCTGTCTAAACTCTGATAACCCTAAACTAAAACTACTAGCCTAGCTAGCTTCCTTCTGCTCTAAGAAGCATGCTCAGAAACTAATTTCCTGATGTTCATCGGTGCTACGTATTTCGACGGACCGTCGATAATGGCATCCACCACGTGGCGGTACATCGCCTCTGTGGGATGAATCCTGTCAAAGAACATGTACTTGTTTCTGTCCTCACAATAGTCCGAGAAGGGAGTGCAAAGGAATTCAGCTTCCAATTTTCCAACCCCACAACATGCAGCCTTGGTCTCACTAAATCCTGAAACAGGAAGGAGAAAAGTACCGTGATAGGTAAAATCATTCGATTTTTTCGATCTTATCATTCGACGAAATGAAAGAAAAAACTAGAGAGGAAAGTTGATGATGCCAAACCATAGCGAGATGCATTGTTGACGACATCTAGGAAGAAAGTGTAGGCGTCGAAGTACGTGTAGCTGACACCCTTGTGCTTGGATTTGAACAGTTGCAGCATTGGCTTGAGCATTCGGTTGTACGTATCACACATGGAATTCAACTCATTGTCGCACTCCTGATTCTTGACAGGGAGCCTTCTCGCAGGAGCACATCCGAGCGCAGGGAGCCCTGTGAGGGCGAATCTACGAGCTCCATACGCGTATAACCTCTGTCCACAATTTTTAAACTGGTAGTTTAGAGACACTATGAATCGAGCAAGCACACTGGGAACTGGGGCCGAGCTTTGGTTAGGGTACCTCGAGCTGTTCTACGAGCTTGGAGGCTGTCTGGTTGGAACGATCTTGGGGGGCGAACTTCTCGCGAAGACTGTCGGAATCGTAGTAGTTGAGCATGTCGTTGCTGCCGATCACCACCAGGAACAAGGCTTTGCTCACTATGTTTTCGGTCCGGTCGTACCCTCGGAGCTTCAACAGAGTGGAGTAGACCTTGGCATAGTAATCAACTTGCTCCTCCAGCGAAATGTGAACCCCCTGCTCAAGTCAAAAACCTAATCACAACATAACATTATAGTCTGAGAGACTTGCTAAAACAAACAGAAGATTCCAACTTACGAAAATGGATCCAGTGTTCTTCAACACACCGCAACCAGCGGAAGCGAAGTTCAAACCGGTTAAGGGGATGGACCCGAACCCAAACCCGAACCCGAGCTCAGACACATTCTTGTTAATGTTTTGCCAGATGTGCCTGATCGATAGATATGGCGGCGGGGATGGCAGACCAAGTTTTTCAGCTGCATTATAAACCTTAATTGTTGACCCAATTATTATATCCAGTAATCAACCACAATCCATACAATAATTACATCATGCCTTAGTGCCATGGTACGATCGAGCTAAAATTGTAATCATATCACCTATATATATTATTTTAAATTTTTTTAATCAAAATTTCTTTTTTTAAAATGAAAGTGTGTTATATCTTATATTCTATGCTTTTGAGTTGTACTTTATCACTTCCAAAATGCCAGCTCATAGAGATTTTTGCTCTGGTTTCGAATTTTGAAGAGAATTCACTTCAAAATGACCCTATGTTTGGTTCGAACTTTTATGTGTACATTTTTGTTTTAAAAGTCGAAGTTGTTGCGCCAAACAATTATGAAAATCGACTTTTATGAAAGTTCAAACATATTTATTATTATAGAATAAAAGTACAAGCCTAGATTTAGAACTTGGGTTTAAAGTTGTTTTGAAAGTATGACATTTTCTTATGTGTTGTAATATTTTATTAGAGAAGATTATATAAATTATATTTTTTATAATTAACATAAAATGAGAAAATATTTAATATAAAAAAAAGCCAACAAGCTCAGTTTTGACTGTCATTTAGGTTACTTCTTAGTTATTATAGTAAAAGGGTTTTTTTTTATTGTTTATTAGTCAAACATTCATTTTATGTAGACGTGCACAAATGATGGACTTACGTACCGACCAAATCGGAAGGGATCTTGCCGTTGGAGAAGCGTCCGGTGGGTTCGCTATACGCAAAATCGACACCGTAGTGTGGGTAATTGGATTTGGCTATCGAGAAGAGGAGGTGGTTGTTGTTCCCGACGTCCACCACCGAGTCACCAAACACGAACGCCGCCGGGACCATTTGACCCTCCGAGCAGCTCGTCATCACCGCCACCGCCACCACCATCGTCGTCATGAACAGCGACCAGCGTCGACGGTAGTCCATATACAATCGAAATGGAGAAGCAGAAAGGGAAGACGCCATGGCTAATGATGCCATAAATAAACTAGTCAATTAGCTAGATTGGTTTGTTGAAAGGCTTTATATAGGTTGAGAGTGAAGTGAGTAAAATGTAAGGAGATATAGTGGAGGGCGATTAGCTCGAGGGGTTTCAGTTTTTACTTTTCAAACGGGATTTTCGATGAATTTGGTTGAATGTGTCATTTATCGTAACAGAACGACCATCATGCCTGCACTACAATATAGTGGGTGGTTTAGAAATTTCGCCGACTTCACAAAAAACAAGGTGGTTCGTAGTTCAAATTACCATGCAGTTAATTGTCGATAGATAGATAGATAGGATTGCTATATCTTTGCTTCCTCGTATTAGGGAGGACCGAGGAAATGAGGAAAACGTGACAATATAGCTACTTGTTGGATTAGACTCAACATAGATATGGTTAATGGTTTAGCAAGGAGGAGTAGCTTAATTATAGAAATTTTTGGATTAGGCTCTACAAAAAATCAAATGAATGACCTTACATTCACAAAGAATCAAAAGTCATATGGTTTCACAGCAAGGAGGAGCAGCTACAGAAAATGGAAAATAGTCGGGAAAAAATGGCCCATACAGGTCTCGAACCTGTGACCTTCGCGTTATTAGCACGACACTCTAACCAGCTGAGCTAATAGGCCAATTTGTCTATCAATTGAACTCTTATTCTACTAGTCTATAGCATGCTACAACTTCAGCCTCCACTAATCACTATATTATTATAACACTCTATACCAACTTTTGGTTAGTTTCTGGCTTCTGTCTGAAAATTAGAATACTAGTGGACCTTGCATGAATTGGCAAGCTAATTACGTGGAAAGTGGAAACTAATTGCCTCACGTTCATGGGTTCCACGTACTTCTAACAACTTATGGGAAAATATATCAAACCGTTTGTAAAATTATGAATCAAATCGAATGGTACAATTTGATTTTGATTGTAGACCGTTAAGGGTAGTTTGGTTTGGTCCCGATTTATGTTATGAGATGTTTGATCTTATGATCTGATATGGTCCAAACCACAATCTATTGAGTCGATCAGATCGTGTGGACCCAACCCACTTACAAATTCATACTAGCAACCCACTCTCCTTAGTCCTCAACGAGACTCAAGTCACAAGTCTCAACCATAATTATGAATCTCGTCTCATTCTTCATTCACATATCATACTCTCTTAAAGGATAGAGACGATTTATGGCATTGTGGTGGAAGTTGGGTAGGTCTAACTTTGTGACTTTGCTATTTAGTTCGATTTAGGGTATAAAATTAATTATGAATGCGTTGTGAAATTTAGGTTTTAAACCAAAAATTAGATTTTTCTGTATTCTTGGTTTGATTTTGGGTAAGGTGGGCCATAAAATTGTTCATTTTTGCTCAACCTGGTCCAACCATACCTCACAGGCATGGTTTGATTTGGACTGTCTATTATTTACCCTAATTTGTGATTTGTACTCCATCTTTTGATATGAACCATGCACCATATATATGGCCAAATTTGAACTAGACCACATTGTTTCCCAGCCATATTCAGAGCATCAACGATAACATCCATCACAAGCCGACCGATTATCGATATGTTGCCTCTGTAGGATGTCTCCTGTCAAACAACACATGATTAGCTTTAATCTTTGCAAGTTGCAATACGTTGTATTATGTGTTCTGCTTTCTCTATGTTCTCCATATTGATAGTGGTCGTTTGAAACCTTTGATTTTGGAAATGATGTATTACAAGAATGTGTGTATTAAAGACTATGTGTATGCTAAGAAAGTGTGGTTTTGAAAATTCATTGTTAGGAAACCATAAAAGAATGCGTGGATTATTTGGAAACCATAAAAGAATGTGTGGATTATAGTTTAAATGAACTATGGATACTAAAATCTCACCAAAAATGTAAGATTCACTATACGTCATTTTATGGATTATGAATACATGCATATTGTTATTACATCAAGTCAAAAAACGTTGCATTCTATAAAATACGTGTATAATGAGAATACGTCTGAAATCGAAGGTTCAAGAGATCAGAAATTGTTGAAGAAAGAACAAGATGTTTCTTTTGTCCCTTCCAGGCGATCGGAAAAGAAAGAAATAGTTAATATATTCAAGGTTACGCATTTACAAAATACTATCTCAATTATTCTATTTCATCATATCCGAGATATGATATGGTTCTGAAGGATGAACTGGATATGAACAGTTCCAATAAGATTTCTTTCTTGAACAAACGAGTCCTTATTTCCCGACGGAGAACATGGCGAGTAGGAGGTTCCCATTTGTTAGTAACAATGAATATATAGGCCTACGAGCAATCAATATCAACAAGCGGGGATAGCTCAGTTGGGAGAGCGTCAGACTGAAGATCTGAAGGTCGCGTGTTCGATCCACGCTCACCGCAATTTATATTTATTTTTTTGACTCAAGTGAAGTTGGCTACCCAAATTTCTCAGCTGGTGAATCAATCAATTATGCTACAGTTGAATGTTACTTATGAGTGATCATTGGGGTTGGATTCACTACAATTGAATGTTACTATGAGTGATCATTGGGGTTGGATTCACGTGATTGTTAAAGGAGTTTTGATAATCCAACTACTGAAATTTAATAATATTGACCGGATTCGTTGACCGACGTCTAATTATAGGGGTGGGCAACGAGACGAGACTGGGTATACCGGTCCCATTTAGCAGGAGTAAATTTCATTCCACGTCCCAAACTCATACATGTTAACCGGTAATCATTACCCCGTACAAGACGAATAACGGGTACCCGCGGATAACTCATACGGTTGTTTGCTATACGTTTGTGGCCTTGTCGGGATTGTCGGGGGGACTTTGTTCAGTCACTGTTTGTTCAGTCACTGTTCTGCAAGTGATTGTGGACCGAAGACGACGATGAGGACGATCCCGCATCCGTGGAGAAAAATGGATGATCATATTTTTGTTGTTAGATACGGAAATTGGGTTGTTGGATCAACGTATATCAGCGATCCACATTCGACAACAGTTATCTCCACTCCACACAAACTTTTCCCAAAGCGGGGTGCTCTTTTCCTTTTCCTTCCATTGCATGAGTTTCCTTTTTCACAGCTGTTTTTTAAGACTTTCTGTTCGAGATTTCTGGGTGGACTTCATATGAGTGTGATGGCGGGAACGTGCTGCAAACCTGGTCATTCTTGTGAAATGAGTCGCCAAGGAAAGGAGTGTATATACATGGAGCAGATCTTTCCATTCTAATATGGGCGGATCTGATCCTTTCGATGATCAACCGAACTAATTCACTTTTCGTGTTACATCACAAGCAATTTGGATCCAGGGGGAAAAAAATCTATCGGTTTTGTCAACATTTGTATCGTTTCCATCTTATCGTATTATATCGATGTAGACCGCGATGGTGAGTATTATCTCATAAAAATACATTGATTCGACCGATAAAACATGATTCAGCACATTCGCCTCCACTAAAATCGTGATGAAATAGAACATCGATGATAGATGACACCATTGACTTTGAATAATACTCTATAGATGACACATATGCAATATGCAACATTAAAAATGAGCCATAACTAGAGCTGAACTAATTAAGGTCTTGTATTCCATTTAGTCCCTTCAGGTCTTCATTCTATTATAATTAATCACCATCTGGATTTAAGTAAAAGTCATCCTGATTAGAGTAACATTATCATTCCATTTTCAAATTTCAAAATTTGGAATTTTCTGAATAATAAAAACAAACAGGCGAAGGGAAACTGAGCCCCACGCGCCGAATAAATTCGGGGCATGGGGAAAGAGGAAAAAAAATGGACAAACGGGGCCGGGCAGCAGACAAAACCACAATTGCCACGTCCCGACGCAAAACCCCCTACCTTCCGGGCAGACCGGGCAGCACCTTGGCTAACGCCGTCTCCCCCCCACCTCACGCCGTTGTACCAGAAAGGAGAAGAAAAAAAAAAGTCGAAAAAGAAAAGTAAAAGCGAGTACAGTAACCAGAGTAAAAAATATCAATCATTTAAATACCACATTCGGTCACCGAACCTGGAGGCTCGGAGCCAGCTTCGGCGTCTCTCCCTGTCCCTCTGAAGAAAAAAGAGGCCAACCCATGAGAAGGCTGAGGGGGAGAATTAATGGAACCCCAAAACAAGTGATAGAGAGAGAAAGAAGAACTGAGTGCGAGCTGCAGAAGAAGAAAAAAGGGGAAAAAAAAAATAAAAAAGATAAAATAAAGAGAGATAATCTATCACGACGGTCTAGAGAGAGAGAGAAAGGGGAAGGAAGCTGGAAGGTGTGGGAGATGGGACAGATCGAGAAGCGGAAGAAGAAAGGGCGGCCATCCAAGGCGGATCTAGCCCGCCGCTCTGCTGCTGCTGCTGCTCATCCTTCCTCCGGCGCCACCGATTCCGAGCGGCGGCGGAGCCTCCGCCGCCGGAATGTGAGGTACAACAACTTCATCGACTTCGACGACTACCTGGACGAGTACGACGACTACGAGGAGCAGCAGGCGGAGGATGAGGAAGAAGAGGAGGTCCCCGAGCCCGAGGAGGAGGAGGACGAAGACGAAGAAGAAGAAGAAGACGAGCGGAGGAAAGAGAAGAAGCTCGAGCTGGTGCTCAAGCTGCACAACGACCAAAGTCAAAGCCAGAACGGCAACCGCCGCCGCGGCAGGCCGGCGCGTGCATCTCACGCGCGCGCTTCGCCGGCGTCTTCCTCGGATGAGGATGGCGAGGGGGACGGGGAGAGGAAGCCGTCGAAGAAGAGGCGAATCAACGGCCGCGGCGGCGGCGGAGAGAGTGAAGCTGAGGAGGTAGACAGGAGTGATGGGAATGATCAGGGAAACGACGACGAGGAAGAAGACGATAACGACGGCCATGAGGTATGCCACGGAATAATCCTATCCGTTGAATTCGTTCGTTTCCATCTGATTTCAGGGGGCCGTAAACGAAGAGCAGCAATGAATGCGAGGAAATAGGGTTTTGCGGGGGACAATCGGAAATGGGGATTTTGGGGGGGAGAACCGAGAATAGAAAGAAAAGGGGGAATGTCCACCTCAGCTCAGCGCAAATCGCTGGTGCAGAAATCTCTAATTGGTCCAGACGTATATATTACATTATACTGCTCCCTTTCTTTCTTCCTTCCTTCGCCTTCCCATCCGTCCGCCGCGGCGCGCCACCCTCTGCTTCTCTCTCTCTGTTTCTGTGTGTCGGAAGGAGGGGATAATAACGGTTAGGTGGTCAACTGTCAAAAACAAATAACTATAATTACTTCCTCTGGCCAGCAGAATCTGATCATGCGCTCTCCCCCACAACTCTCTCTTTCCCTCACTACCCACCACCTGCATTGTCTTTCTAAATATCTTAATCCTTCTCTGTCATATACGTTTGTCTGCTTTACTCAGCTGTCTCTATCTTTGTTCCCTGCCTCGCCACATTTCCTTGCTGCAGTCATTGTGCTCATTGTGGGTTCCTCCTCACTTTTGGTTGTTATGGCAGGAAAGGGAAACGGATGATAAAGGTTTGCCGGACTCGGTGCCAGGTTTGTTTTTCCCCTTCAGTGTCCTGGTCGAGCTGGCTGGAGTTCTGATGGGTTGAGCTGCAACGGAGATTTTCTTACCTCTGTTGGGTTTTTTGGGGTTTGTTTCAGGAACACCCTCTGATCGCCTGGATTCTTATCCCTTGCCTGATAAGAAAGTGCTGGATTTGGTTCTGCACAAGCTTCAAAAGTAGGTTACAACAATTTCGATTCTCTGTTTCCCTATCGGTTGTCGTTCTCGGGATTCTGTAACGGTAAATGGGGTTGATGAGCTGATGATGGCTAATCATGGTTTTGTGCTCTACATTGTGGTAGGAAGGACACATATGGCGTGTACTCTGAACCTGTGGATCTCGAGGAGGTTTGTGATGTTTGACATTCCTGGTTTCCTGGTGATTGGCATATTGATGGTAGAGAATTGGCCGAGCCTAATGTGTTAATGTGGTTGTTACAGCTTCCGGATTATCTTGATGTGGTTGATCACCCAATGGACTTTGCCACAGTACGGAAGAAGCTGGGAAATGGCTCGTACTCCACGTTGGAACAATTTGAGGTGTGTTCCTTACGTTTACTTCTCTGCTCTACATGTGCCAGCTGGTCTCGCATGAAACTCTAGTTATAGTGTGAATTGTCAAAGGTTTCGTTTTGCCTCTCACTTCTGTCTGAGGTTTGAATACTCTTATCACCGTCAATTTGAAACTAAGGTTTCCTTTTGTTCCTTTCTTGATCTTTTCGGAACCGGACAATTGTTGATTTCAGAAGGTTAGAGAGATGCCACCTTAGGACTTGACTGTTGTTAGATTAGATCTATTGATCTGTATATAGACAGAGAATAATGATGTCGTGTTTGATTCTTGCTCTGTCCACAGACTATGATCGTGGCTGTTGTAGCCTGTAGGGCATCATTCTGCTGTATATCATGTTAACTTATTTGGAACATTCTGCTTTGCATCTAAGCTGCAATGGGCGTTATTGCAAGTCATTGTTGATTGTGATACATGTTGGAGCAGCTTTGTTTGGTGCAAAATATTGTTGAAGATAAAATGCAGACATCTTGTTTTCTCGTGTCTCTTACCTCAGAATTGGAGCATTGACTCCAGATATGCTCTTTCCTGTGTGGTTGTTGCCTGTTGGTAGAGGTCAGAGAGTCCTAGGATGAAAACATGATGTGCAGGTTGACTTATCTAGAGGCTTGAACTCCTTTAGCCAGTTTGTTGTGTGAATAAATTTATGTTTGTGGTCATTGTATGGCTTAACTTAAAATTGTGCTTCTAGTGTTATCGGTTGATGCTTATTACTATTCTGTGCCTACTCTAAGAGATTTGAGTGATTGAGCTAAAAAAAAATCACGTAAATCGTTTATATATAAGGAGGCTCTGCATTCTGCGAATTTGATTTATTGAATGAAATTCATCATATAGTTAAGCCATAAGTTTTATTGATTAAGAGAGATGATGAAAAGAAAGTTTTATGCATATTGATCATTCAGGTTTTTCTTTGACTGCAGAGTGATGTACTTCTAATTTGCTCTAATGCAATGAAATATAATTCATCAGACACCGTATACCACAAACAGGTACAAAATAATTTTTCTGTCGCATTTTTTACATCTCGTGTCTAAATCTGTGCTAATTCTGTTTCCTGTTGTTTCCAAAAGGCACGGGCCATCCAAGAATTGGCACACAAAAAGTTTGAGAAGTTAAGGGTTGGCATTGAACGCTCTGAGAAGGAGCGGAAGTCTGAACAGAAAACGAAGTCCAACTTCTCGGGCAAGAAGCAAATGAAGAAGCCTCTCAGTAGGGCGATACAGGAACCTGTTGGGTCTGATTTCTCTTCAGGTGCCGCTCTTGCTAATGCTGGTGAGGTGCAGAATGGTCCTAATGGTGTTTTGGCTGGTGCCTGTGAGAGGCCTTGTAATGTGGATGCTCTTGTAGAAGGCAGCTTGTCTCTGGTGGATAATAATCTGGAAAAACTTGAAGAACTATCATCAGGTATGTAACTTGAATTGCTCTCTGCGGTTTACATATATTTAGGATATAGGTGGTTGTGCAGTCGACTATTTTGTTCTGTAATGTTGGCATTGGTTTCCTAATTGCTTTGACTCCACGCTTCTGCAGGGAAGGGTCCTTGGCCCAAGATTGGAAAGAGACTGTCTGTCTTTGATGACAACCGTCGTGCAACTTATAACATATGCAGTCAACCTGTTGAGAGACCAGACACGATATTCACAACATTCGAGGATGAACTCAGGCAGCTGGTTGCTGTATGTAACTAGAAAGCTGCACCATTTTTACTTAAGTGGGTGGGAGCTAATACTAATGCTTCCTTTCATTTTCTTTTATCAGGTTGGGCTTCACGCAGAATATTCCTATGCAAGGAGCATGGCTCGCTTTGCTGCAACCCTCGGACCATTAGCTTGGAAAGTGGCAGCTCACAGGATTGAGCAGGCTTTACCACCTGGGTGCAAGTTTGGTAGAGGATGGGTGGGAGAATATGAGCCAGTCACAACCCCAGTGCTAATGATTGAAACACGTTCTCCTAGAGACAATGAAGTGTTGTTGCCCAAGGTTAAAGCTGTTGTGGATGGACTAAACGGTCCTGATGCAACTGCAGTTCCAGCCGCTCAACCTCCACCAGCTAGAGGGACTACATCACAAGTAAAGCACACAGTGTTCCGTCCAACCTGCAGTGTGGCTGAAGTTAAAAACTCATTGTTTTCCTCTGCCGCAACCAAGCCATTTGCCCCAGTCAATGTCACTCATCCACGACAAACTATTTCTCCCTGGAACCATGCCGAGACTCAGAATAGGGCTCCCAAGCAGGTTGAGCTGAACTTGCCTCCTTCAAACTACCAAAATGATGGTGAAGTTGGTGAAAAGCAACTTCCGAAGAGTTCTGGAATGGCGCCTTCAAAGGTGTGGGAAGCACCGTCAAGAACAGAAAGTCCAAAGCCAAGGGAAGTGCCACCAAGAACAGATAGTCCAAAGCCGAGGGAGGTGCCACGAAGAACAGAGAGTCCAAAGCCGACGGAAGTGCCACGAAGAACAGAAAGTCCAAAGTCAAAGGAAGTGCCGCCAAGAACAGATAGTCCAAAGCCAAGGGAAGTGTCGAGGACAGAGGCTGGTATGCCACAGTCCCTACCTTGTAAGCCGCTGGACAGTTACGAGCATGTTCCCCCAGGGTTTCCAAATGGGAGAAACACTAGCAGTAGTTTAGTAAACAATGGTAGATCAGCGACTGCATCATCTGATGGTTTTGGCCAAATGGGTTACATCGGAAGGAATCAGATGGGCCATGGAGGACTACACTATCCTCCAAGGGCACCAGGAGTGGTTCTCACAGACCCAGTGGAGGCAATGAGAATATCAGCAGCTGAAAGGGCTCAAAAGCATCAACAGCCTAGTTCAGGTGGTCAGTCCTCAGTTGGTGAGGCTCCACCGGCTTCAAGGAGCGACAACAGCAATGCGGCTGCAACTGCTGCCAGAGCATGGATGTCGATAGGCGCTGCCGGGGGAGGCTTCAAGCCCCCAGCAGCAGACCATTCTTCTAGCAACACAAACGGTCAGATTTCTGCAGAATCACTGTACAACCCAACATGGCAACTCCCCCCACGAATGTTCCAAGGGCAGCTTCCTTTCCCAGCAGCAGGGGTGCAGCAGCAGTTCCAGCAGGCTGAGAAGAACTTCCCGTTTCAAGCTTTCATGAGACCGCCTCCTTTCCCTGGAGGAGGTGAAGGACAGGTGCAAGGCGGGAGACCAATGATGTTTTCTCCCCAGTTAGTAGCTGCTGATCTATCTCGATTGCAAATGATGTCCTCCCCATGGCGAGGACAAACTGGGCTACCGTCTGAGTCCCAGCCTACTACTAGGCAAAAGCAGGAGACACACACGCTGTCACCGGACTTGAACATCGGTTTCCAGTCGCCAGGATCACCGGCGAAACAGTCTTCAGGTGTCATGGTTGATTCACAGCAGCCTGACCTGGCATTACAGCTCTGAAACAAAACAAGAAAAGGATAGCGTTCAAACCGAACCAGTGACACAATCCACCCTGGTGGGAGATTGGGCTGCATCTGCAAGCTGTTCCCCCTCACACCTTTGTTCAAGAAGATCCATTCCACGGTGTTCATTAGCTAAAGTTTGGCTGCCAGGAGATTAATATGAAATCTTCCAATTCATGATGGTGATGATGATGCAGAAGGTCACATGTACAAAAAGGTAAAAGGGTTTTGCAGTTGGGACAGGAGAGGAAGAATGGGGGAGAAGTGAAGTGATGTTGAGAAAGCACTTGATTGTGTTTAAAGAACTACCTGTTTCTTTCCCCCCTCAGCTTTTCTCTGGAGAAAAGTACATAATGTTAGAAGTTTGATCTAAAAGAGAGTTTGGAAGCCTAGACCGAATTTGAATTCTGAGTTAGGAATTGGGTTTCCATGTATTGATTATTGAGGAAGAATAGTTAGAGGGAGCAGTAGCAGCAGCTTAGGAATTTGGCTTGTACATTTGGCACAGGTTGATGGATTTGTCTAGATGCTTAGTTTACTGATTTGGCTTCAAATTTCTTTCTTTCGTTGTGAATTCGATTTGAATGCATTCATAAATTGCAACTAACCATTTCCCCGTTCATGTCACATACCTATGGTTCGTTCTCGTTTACACACCTTGAGAAGCGAATCAGACTGTTCATTACGTACAATGTTTTGCGCTTTTCTGAACTAGATATGTTTTACATAATTATACGTACTTGTTCTGTTGTTGAGTCCATATAGTTGCCGTAATGATTGTAACCCCTCACGCTTACCTGATTAATCCGCATTAATTTCTATGGGGAAAAAAATTTCATTTCCCCCTTCATGTCATGAATCTTTTAACGTGCAATGGTCTTTTTTATAATCGTGTTTTTATTGTCTTTCTGCCTATTGTGTTGGAACAACAGCCTCTCTCTCTTTTTCTAAAGGAAAAAAAGTTGAAGGCTGTCGTTCACACGACAACGCGATAAAGATCCATTATTACAAAGAGCAAATCAGCACTGTATATTATATATACAACGGCAGCTGTTTCCTTTACCAACGAATAAGAACAATACAGAAACTACAAACATATAACAATACAATCAATTTTAAATTCGTTTCTTTCCAATGAATAAAAGCTGAAGCCTCTAACTTTCCGACGAATGTGATCCCCTCGGAATCACACCTCAATTCCGTATTACATCTATATATAGGAATTGAAGCTTACAAGGCGGGAGCCTTCCCCAGGCGAATCCGGCGAGGAAACATTGAGAAGCAAACGACGGCCGGCTCCTTCGGCGGCTTCCCCTTGCCGGCGGAAGATTTCCGGCTCTGGCTCTGGCTGCTCCCCTGACTCTCTTTTCTCAGATAACAAACGTCCCCCTCGCACACGTAGTTTGAGGGCGGCGCCGCCGCCGGTGGGTGATGATTATTCTCGGCAGCCGGACGATGATGCCCGCCGCGAAAGATGCTTGACAACGACGGCACGGCCATCTCTACCAAAAAAAAACCACGATCAAGAACAGAGCAAAAACAGGGGAGAGATTCTCTGTTTTTCTCAAGAAACAAAACGAGACAAAACAGGGAAAGCTTATTCTGTATATATACAGGGGGGAAAAGAATAAACAAACGGAAGGGGGAAAAGGGAAAACAGAGAAACAGCTCTTTTTTTTTTTTTTTGTTTATTGGAATTGTTATAGAGCAAGGTTGGTCAAGAAGGGACGGCCGGGCAATGAACAGAGCAATTGGGCAATGGTTTATTTTGACTTGTTGAAATTGGCAATTGCTGTTTCGGGCTACCACCATACGTTTTCCTTCTGGAGGGCAAACAGAAACAAAACGTGTGGATCTGTACACGACACCAGAAACGTTGCTGTCCTCCAGTTCTTGCTGCGAAACCATTTAATGAACCATTTCCACAAGGAAAACTACATCGACAGATTAGCCAGGGCAGGCAGCAGGGGTGACAATGGGTTGGGTTAGGTCGGTTAATCGCAGCATAGTCCATGTAGAGTAGGCCCATGAGGTGTTGCTTGTTTACGATTCGAGTTGTTCGCATGATATCAGAGCCTATGGGTTTAGGAAGCATGCCTCTATTCGCTTGGACGCAAGCGGCTATGTTGTGTGGGAATTTCAGTTCAAGATGCCACCGATATGTTCACGAGTCCTACAAAAAAAAATTTTCATGAAAATGAAGTGCGAAAACATAAATGGTTTGAAAAGACTTGAAATAATTAAAATATAATTGTGAATTATCTGACAGATAAGATAAGACGCTAAACTCGCCCGACCAACATGCCACCGATAAAGCTAGTTATAATGAAACAACATGTGATGACTAACACTTACTATCATATCTCAGTTTTGATTTTTTCTGTTCTCTCTTGCGCTCGCTGACAATTCATCGTCTCTTTTATACTAATTTTCGTAGCATTGTGTTAATAGCATCAATCTGTTGGCTAGCTTCACTGTCTACCATTCCCTTCCTCTCCTTTCTCACTAAATTTCAAATACAGATAGGGGATTGTCGTCGACTTCCTATTTGGGATTGACGGTAGCCCTCAAGCCCTCTTTTTGTTGCCGGATCCTTTGCTCTCCTCTGATCCGATATTTCCTTCCCTCTCCTTTGTTACTCTCCAATTTTTTTCAAACTTTTTTTGTTCGGGTTCCTGCATATAGATTTGCTTCCTCTTCTTCTCCTTTCATGTCTGTGTTTTCTCCATCCTTGTGATGATGTTGTTCCAGTCTTCCCGAGGAGATGCTTTTGCTCTCGGACCAGATCCTAAATGTGTGTCGATGGCTCTCTAGTAGGTGTTTGAGGGGCCGATTTTTGTCGGTTCGCTTGCTCCTCTCTGGTTCACCATCTACCTCCACATGCTTCATCTTAAATGAAGATGAGTCGGAGATGCTTGAACCTTGTTTTTTTGGTTGAAGATTAAAGAGCTTGTGAGCAAGGATGTCACACTTGAGGTCTGAGGATGACATCCAGCCGATTGCTCAGATTGCAGTGATTTGGTCGTCTCTCATCTGTCCATAGCCCGGGCTGGGAGAGACTCATTAATTTACTTGTTGTGAAGGTAAAGCTATGAGCTTCCTCTAGGAATGGTTCTCCCCATCGATGGTTTTGCTTTTCTTCCCTTTGTCGTCGGTGATAAATCGGCCTAGTGAAGCTGCTGGTGCCTGGAGATTTTGTCTGATGTCCTCATCGTTCCCCGGCGGAGGCACGTCCAAGACAGAAGGTTGAGGATTTTATCCTTTCTTTCGGTGTTGGAAAACTCTATACACATGTTTCGTATTAATGAAACGGTCAACCAACCAAGGATTAAAATATCGTACCGTACCGAGGGTTCGACCTCCAAAATCTCCTACCAGAAGCAAAACTGGAGGCGATATTTAGCGGTATAATACGACTGAACCATAATTAAATCATGATTTTAACATAAAATAGCCTACCGCTAACTTTTCCGGTACGATATTTCAATCCTTGCAACTAACATTAAAAAAAGACTCTTTTATACTAGTATTTCATAAACCCTATTCACAACTACTTACTAAAAGCACTGCACGAAAGTAAAAGTTACATAACAATCCTCCAACAGAGTAACTATACCATAATTTTATTGGTTTTTAGTGAAGAAAGACCTTCTTATTAAATATGCAAATAGAACCTTAAGCTACCCACATTTAAGATTTGAACTCAAATTTCCATAATTTCTTTGTTACAATGAAAAACATCTCTAATAAATATAAATATATATATTCAAATTTCAACATATGTATACTCCCCCAATTTTTTTATTCTGAATATGCCAATAATACCAGCAAATCTATTTATCCTACAACTGTTTTCCTAAATATCTATTTTTGTTCCTTGCATGCCTTCAAAATTTTAGTAAATGTATACTCCATGAATTTCCATTCTTTTTCCCTTCAAAATTTTCATCAAAGAACCTTTTATATTTAGACAACTCAAATAATTTTCCTAATTCACACTTATGTCATCCATGAAAAATCACAAATTCTAATTAAGTTTTGGAGGATTTTGTTCCCACCTAGACTCCCTCACCTCATGGAAAACCACAATAAATAAATAAAATTTCATCTCTCAAAACAGGGTCCTTATTATGACACCATTAAACAAAAACAAAAAGACCACACTTTAATTTGGGTATCGTCGTGATCCTCCGGCAACAATTTTGCTCTTAGGCTCTCCCAAACTTTGTTTTTTTTTTTCCTTCACGCAGAGCAGTTGCCCGGAGAAGCTCAATCAGGGGACAAAAATTACCCTTACAAAAATAATCGATGGTGTATAAAGTGGCAACACCATACTAAATCATATTTTGTGTTAACTGTTAGAAACCGTTGAGAAGTTGTCGCCGCACCCATCTCCATGTTTCTCTCTTCGGTCCCGTCCTTTCTTCTACAACTTCTCTTTATACCTTTCTGATCCCTCTACTCATAATTTCTCGTGGGTCCTCAATTAATCTCATCCTCCACCGGCGTCCACCGTCCCATCTCTTCCTCTTCCCGGTCGGCGATCAAATTTCCTAGTTTCTCAACCATCACCCCGGGAAGGAAGAAAATTGTCACCCACCTCCACCTTCATCTCAACCTAGAAAAAAGTAAGGGGAAAAAATAAGGACCAACAAAGGAGGGAATTTTTTTTTGGGATTCGATGGAGTTAATGGGCATATTGAATCTTTTTTACATTGTTACCTTCAATGGCGTGAATGAGAAATTTGTGGTTGAATCTCTTAAGAAGATGTAACTCCACTTCTTGAGGAACAATTGAAGGAAGGAAGAAAAGAGGAAGAAGCCTTGGAGGGTTTCTTAAATTCCTTTTTCTTGTTGGGTTGCATTAGGAACCCACCAAGAAGAGAGGAAGATATATCATTGTTAGGTTGTGGAGTATTATTTTTCTACTTTCAAGATGATATCAACAACCAATGGTGATGGTGGATCCTCTGGATCTTCAACAAACGGCGGCGGCGACGGAGGAGGAGGTAGCAATGGAGGAGATGGTAATGCATATTTAAATGTCTTAGGGTTTGGTGATGACATTGTTGCTCATTACCATCACAATATTAACGGAGGAGGGAATCCGCATCTGGCTGGAAATTCTATAACTGATGGGAGGGAGATTAATAATAATGTTGTAAGCGTTGGTGGGGGTGGGAGAGAAAGACCCTTAAAGAAAGGACCTTGGACAACGGAGGAAGATGCAATTCTATTTGAATACGTGAGGAAACACGGTGAAGGGAACTGGAATGCTGTACAAAGGAATTCAGGACTTAACCGTTGTGGGAAGAGTTGTCGCCTTCGTTGGGCTAATCACCTTCGACCAAATCTCAAGAAAGGTTCATTCACACCTGAAGAGGAAAGACTCATTATTGAGCTACATGCTAAGATGGGCAACAAATGGGCTCGCATGGCTAGCTTGGTATGACTTTTCATTTCCCCTGCCCTTACTCTTGTTTCTTCATAATGCTATGCTTTTCCTATGTTCTTATTGCTCTATTTTTGTTTCCTTCTCATGCATGGGGATATGTAGCTTCCAGGAAGAACAGACAATGAGATTAAGAACTACTGGAACACAAGAATAAAGAGGCACCAACGACAGGGACTCCCTCTTTACCCTCCAAATATCCAACCTCCACGACAACAACACTTCCAATCGGATCCACATCACCACCACCAATATAATCAACTTAAATCTTGTGCGACACCGACAAGTCCGATCACCACTTTCTCCTTCCAACCTTATCAACTTTTATCGCCAACTGCAGGAGCCCCACAAGCTCTTCATCCTTACCACCACCAACCCTTTGCTCCACAACCATCTGCCTCTCACAATGCCTTCCAAACCTTACCACTTTTTGACTACTCTCAACAACAACACAATCATCATCCCAACTCTACTCCCACAACCCCAACTCAATCTCCATTCATTTTTCAAACCCAGAACCATGATCATCCTTCAGCTTCGACCACCCCAACCCATCTCTCCCCACTTCCTTCCCCCTCAGTAGCCAACAATGCGTCTCCTATTTCTTCTTCTCACCATCACCACATCCCAACTCTAGCTCTCCTTGACTTCTCCTTCCCACGCCCAACTCCTATCCTCCAATCCCCTAATCGCTTCAAGCGATTTGCCTCTTGTGGTGACATTGTCAACTCTGCAGCAACTGCAGGCGACGAGTCTAACAACACCAATAGTAATAACAATGCTCACCCACATAATTTTCCAGTCTCATTTGCAAATCTATCAGCGGCGCCACCTCGTCCTCCCCATCCCAACATTTCCTCTAATAATGTTGCACATATAGAAAAATCTCATAACCAAAACCATCTTAATATCCTCTCCAGCGTACTTGACAACAACAATAGTGGGTTCCGCAAGGAGATGCAGAAGGAGAATGAGGAGATGTGCTCACTTCTAGCTTCAATGTCTCACCAACCAGAGCTCTCTTCAAACCAAATTTTATCACAACACCCTTATGGGAATGATGTCAGTACTAGTATAATCCATCCTGGTCAATTCAATAGGAAAATTGATATGGAAAAACGAGGGAACAACAACAATAATAACATCTTGCTAGCAACACCGACATCAAATAGTGCTGGTGGTGCCTATGGAGGATTGTTGGAGGATCTTTGGAAAGAGGCTAATCCAAATTTGATGATGCAGAGGGACAATTATGTGATGCAGAGGAATGCTAGTGATGTTCATGGCTACACCACCACCACCAATAAGTTTTCCAACTGTGGGGAACGAAAAGGAGAGAATGAGGAGGTGAACAAGTTCCTAGACGACAATCAGATCAGAAAAACTGATAATCAATTTTGCGGAGATAACGTCAGTGGTGGCATTAGGGATCAAACAACCTCCAATGAACCATCTTCAGTTGTGACAACAGAGGATCACATCAATTTTGATCTCCAACACATGTTTTCCTTTCTTCCCACAACAACCACGACGAGGACAACAACTACGGACCCAGATAGGCCCCCACTAGAGACTTATTCCTGGGATAACTTGCCAGAGATTTGTTATGAAAGTTGAGAGTTGGAGTTTGTAATTAAATGTTGTAATCGTGGTCGTTCTTCTTTTTATCCTTTGTAAGTCTTTTTGAGGAATTTGCTAATACGTTGAGGATGTAAGTTTCCTACAAATTTGGGGAAGGGAACTCTCGTCCGTCTTGTGTTGTTGTAATGTAAGAGATATCGATAGGGATCGAATACCCAAATTCATTAATCAGATACTCCAAACTTCTTAGTACCTAATGTAAAATTTATCGAAAGTAATATTCCTGTTTCAATATGATTTAGAAAAAAAAATCATATGTATAAATCAAATAACTTCTTTAATGCCGAATAATCCATATTTTAGATAATGATAATCATATATTTTTATGAATGTAATGATGTAAATTACTAATTTTTTAGTTTTCTTTCATTTGCATTACACCATTGCTTATGTTAGGATTTCTAGATTTTAGATTGGAGAGTTGGACAACAAAAGACATACTATAGAAGTGACATGAAATATGATTTAGTTAGATATACAAAGCATGCATTAGGGGTTTACTAAATTACAGACATGTCTATGATTAGCTATATAATGTAGACAAGTTTTGCACCAATCGTTCATCCAGTTCTCCATTCAAATCGTCATACGACCCACCACAAAACGCTAGCCGATAAGCCAATTAGTTTTAGGTGGCAAGTAATTGACCAAAATTTGTCACCCAAGGCAACAAAACGGTCACCATATTATCTAGATGTAGCAAAATGAGAATTCTGCTTAGTTGAGAGATTGGTGATAGGCATATCATTCATTTACTGGCAAAGATGATTGAGAATTCTGCCTGCTTCCCACTTTCCAGTAGGATGGGATGGGACAGAGCTGCTCTTTGTGGCTGGGAAGCAACATCATACATTCACATTAACATTACATCCATACTTCAATTAATTCCTTCTTTCTGGTTGGCAGTTGAATGGTTGAGTTAGGTAGGCAGGTAACATGTATTAATGAGGACTTCCTTTCTTTACTTTTCACAGCCATGGTTTTCTGTAACAGTAACAGAGAGCTTCTAAATAGCTCATCAATGGCATGTAACATGTGGTATTGCATATGAACACACAGACCAACAAAAGGACAAATTTCTCAAAGTAAGAACAGTTTAGCATTTTCTTCAGTGACATCTATTATACAGGATTCATTCATTAGGACCTGCAGAAGAACATCAGTAAAACGAAGGGGGGGAAAGTTTGCAACTTTCTAAATCTCTGTACTTCAACAACAAACAACAATTTCACACCGCACAACAATCAGGCAGCAGCAGCTCTGGCAGTAGTGTTATCTGCTTCTTCAACTTCCTTGGAAGAAGCAAGGGAAGGAGGTTCAAACAAGCTGAAGGCTCTGTAAGCAGAGATGACAGTGAAAGCAATGAAGCAGAAGAGAGCCAGAGCATGGAGAATCACAGCAAGCTTCATTCTGCTGCAGAAGCTGGGATAGGAGCGGCAGGCTTCACTCCACGACACCGTCCGGTCGCCGTAGTAAGCCAAGTACACTATCTCCGACACTCCAGCTCCAGATGTCACCATTAGATACGTTATCATCTTCAACATCCGATTCCATAAACACCCCAATCAGGTTTAAAAAAAAAATGAAGACATCGAAAGACAATGCAGAAGTTAAAAATGGGTACCTGGTCAAAGAGGAAGAAGAGCCAGGGTTTGGAGGCAGAGCATTTGATGAACCAAATGGTCAGAGCAGCAAACAGTGCATAAGCAGCACATATCCCACTGATCCAAGCCATGTAATCGAGGCCTTGAATGTTTTTGTAGGCAACAGGGCCTAAATCGGCGTTGTCCTGGTGGTTTGTGACAGTGAGGCAGAGTGTTGCAACACTCAGGGGAATTGCTGTGAGTCTCAGAGATGAATCCACCAGCTTCAACCTAGGAGCCATGTTGTTTCTCTCTTCTGTAATAACTCACTCACCTGAATGGATTTTGTTCTGGGTTTGGAGATTGAGATGGGAGAGGGAGAGAAACAAGAACAGAGAAGTTTAAGTATTTATAGTGAAGGATGAACTATGAAGAATATGTTGTGGGGAGAGATGGGTTTGTTGTTGTTGTTGTTGGTAGTGGTGGTGGTGGTGGATTTTTTCTGAAATTAGTGGGGGAAAGAAGTAATGGGTCTATACTCAATGACCCTTAATACTTCTTTCTTCCTTTCCTTCACAGCAGTCCCCCATGCTTCAATATTTTAAGAATGAGTACTCTGTTTTAGATTTTTCTTCTTTTGGTGGAGAATTTGGCACCTGTGGCTGTGTTTTGTTGGTGGAGAATTGATTAGCTTGAGAGCATGCCATTTGATTTCACACACTGCTTTGAATTTTGTTGGGTCCTGTGGTTTTCTCTTTCATTTCTTTGTTTTTAGTTTTCATTGTCTTCAATCTGTTGAAGAGGTGTTGCTTTCCCAAGTGATGGTTAGGAGTTAGGAAAGTGATGTTTCGGACCCCATCAGCATCATTCATCTACACGTTTGTGTCATTCTTACCTCATGGACAGGCTGTTCATTGCTCAATACTCTGTTTCTAATCAAGGCCTAACTCTGTAGCCGATTACCTTACCGATTACCTTACCCGTCTTGATGGTTGTTTCACTTATTCACTTATGAACGATCGACACTATAAGTCGCGGCTTACTGATAATACGCGGTAAGAACACCACTTAACTAGAATATCTAGAAAAGAGTTGAGCTTTCAGAACCGGCGCCAAAAGATAGGCAATTCGCAAAGGCTAATAAGACTGACCATCTCAAGATGAACTCTGTGCATCATCATCAATCATGAAAAGGTAAAAAAGAAGGCTATGCTTTAGAAACAAACACTTATGGCTCGATTGGAAAAGCAAAAGGTAAGAAGAGCTTGGTAGCTCCATTTATGGCACTTATTGAGGAGTATTGTAACCTAGCCATGCTTGGCAAAACTTACAAAATGGTCCCCCTTTCAACCATGTACAAAAAGAATCAAACAATTGCAGACTATTACTTTCCCTCCAAACTGCTAATGGGTTTTCTGCCCTTGCCTAAAATGGATCAGATCCCACTCAGTAACTCTTCTCTTCATATATGTGAAGAAACAAACACATTCCCCATAAGGGTCATATCCACACCCCACAGAGAGCATCAAGGCCTCATTTTTCTTTCCTGGGTACTCCTCCTGAGTTAGGAAGAACAGGTTATGTTGTCTTTCAACGTTGTGCACTCCACAATGCATTCTCACCTTCCCCACAGCGTCGGTGGACCTCCTTCATCCTCTCGACAGATTTGCAGATTCCACTGCAAGTCCAATCGAAGGAGGCAACACACACATTTCCTGCTTGAGCCTTCCACTCGCAATCTGGATAAAAGGTTCGTGTTATGTGGGTTCTACGTTTACTTGCTTTGCACGAAACAGAAAAAAACCACAGAGAAAGGACAGTGGTAAAGAGGGGTTCTACCAGGTGGGGTGCCACAGCAGAGTCTCCTGTCATCGATATGCTCCACATCCAACCCTATCAACCATGACCCAAGCGAGACATCTTCGTTTGTGTACTTGTGCAGTACATGCCTACACAATCACAACCACACGATGAACAAAAAGTTAACCTAGGCTGACTCAGATTGTCCTCTAAATTGTCGATATGCCCTTGCTAAGGTCTAAAAAAAGGGAACTTACTGGTTGATTGATATATAAGTAGCCAAGTCATTTGAAAGGGCATATATTTGTCCAGTGGCATGACGGAAGTACTTGTTCCCTTCCTCGCCGAATTTCCAATACTCAGGTTCATGGTATTTCACTCCCCTGTTGAATCCAACAAAGTAAAAGAAATCATGTTACCGTGTGCTCCCTATACGTTGGGAAAATGAAGAGCAACTAAATTGCTCCTCAACTTACTTTTGTGCCAGGACCGGGCCAGACTTCATACATCCTATGTAAACTCTGGGTTTTAATCGGTGGCTGCTTAAAGTTGCTCCTAGTGTAGCTGCAACAGTATGTTGGATAGACTTCAGTTAAGATGATAAAGCGAAGTGAAAGAAAAGGAAACAGGACCATAGCTGCCCAACACAAATTACCTATATTGACGTGGATATCATCGTCAACTTTAACATAGAAATCTGCATCCCACAATGCAACTGCAGTGGTGAAGTATGTCTTTGTCTTTGCCGATAGTTCGAGGTAACCTTCAACGTGCTCCTGCTCTCACAGAAAATGTGGCACGATGAGTTAACAAATTTTCTGTATCAGCATGGCAGAGTATTTCAGAGAAGATAGATGAAAAGAAAATGAAGGAATAAGAATAGTACCAATCTCAAGAAGTCACCATGCTTCCTGTCTTCTGCTTCAATGGCTCGGTCAAGGATTCCACCAGTTGTCGCACTAGAATCAAAAGCCAAAGAGCAGAGGAAAAAGCATATCAAATTCCATTTACAACGTGGTTCGCAAGAATCCTTAATTTCACTTGATTCATAGGAACTTCATGGACGTTCAGATATAGTTTCACAGTAAGGGAATAGCCAGGATAAAGTGAAAAGCATTGAGAGAAGCTGTGTGAGCAACCAATTCAAGGAAGAACTAATTGGAAAACAAGGTAGGAGGTCTGTGGCACCCACCTGTGACCAATGACAAAGCGCATTATGATGCCCTTCTCTTCTTCCAACTTCTTCCTCTTATCACCTTTTGAAAACACAGGGAGAAGTGAGATAATCAAATAAAGAAATTGACATACAGTACCATAAAGGATGTGCAGAAATAGGTGTTATCGAAACCCATCATTCAGCTGACCTTGAGGCAACCAAGTTGCACGAACCGAATCTCTTCGTTTTCTGCTACTGAAAGCAGTGTTTATGCCTACAACCATCAGATACTTCCGTTTCCCTGTTGATTGCGAGGCTTTCGAATTGTCTGATACGGGAGAACCACTTAGTGTGGACTCATGTGCAGCCCTAGCGGCAGCCAATTCCATCTCCAGACTAGCAATAGTTTTATCCAGAGTACTGTGTGAAGGGAAACATGCTATTGATTATTATCCGCCACCAACCAAGGAATTCAGAAACATAAGAACTCGAATACTAGCTTACTGTATGGCATGGTGTGTCTTTGAAACTTCCCCCATTATGTCCTTGGACTCATGATGTACATCCTTCTGAAGTGGAAACAAAACAGCAACCCCAGAAATACTAAGCATACAGTAATATATAAATTCATTGTACAAAAATGCATGACATCATCTTCAAATATATGGGATATAAGCTCACATTTTGAGGGGCACATCCTTCTGCGACGACATTGAGCTTCTCATCTTCAACCATCTTTGTACTTGACACGTCGTTAACCTCCGGCACAGACCACATTCTGCTGCCAAGATACTAATTAGCAAAGTATTCATTTCCAGAATGCCTAATTAGCTTAAGAAATTTCAAGTGGGATGTTGCTTTCGACTGCTGTCTTTCAAGTGAAGTTTTACTGGCAAACTGTTAACACAAGAATGCATCATGCCAACCGCCTAGTACATTGCTTGTAGGGAAATACCAAGGAAGTTAAAGCCTCACTTTTTCGAAAGATAATAATAGACTAAGTCAAAAGAAATGGCAGAAAAGACGCCAAGCCAGAATTGGCACCCCAAATTTATGTGCTCGTCGTATCTGAATTCCAGAGCAACATCTCCAAGCAAAGAAACCCCATTTTTATAAGAATTGAGCATGTAAATGTAAAAGGGGAGCTTCAGATCTAAATTCTAACCAAAATGTCACTGTGTAAAATTGGAAACCAGAGGCCTGAAATGATTACAGATGAAAAAAGAAAGATTCCACCAGCCATCATAGTTGAATCATAATTTCTTTCTTTAAGAATTGCAGGCATCTCACATTAATTGCTTGAAGAAGTCAAAACAGATGCAATGATCAGAAACAAATTAAGAAACCAGCCATTAAAGCAGCCAGAGGAGACCAAATTTAGAAACATAAACATGATTCAAAAATCAAAATTACCCAGTACCCCATTTCCGACTTCGGTGAGATGCCTAATTCAGAAGTAGCAGAAAGCAACAATTCCAAAAAAAGAAGGAAAAAACTTTACCTGTCTGAGAAGAGCATCCCTGCGCAGAAACAGCCAATGCAAAGGAGCAGAGACCATTTCCTTGACACCACACTCTTCGAATTTTGCTCGAATCCTCTGTTCTTCCAACTCATGTTTTTGCTTCTGAAAACTCCGAAACTTTGCGAGGCAAAAAATATTTCACAAAGCTTCAGATTGAGAAGGAATTCATGTCAATTAAGTCGTCGCTGAGCCAACTGTTGACTGAGTTGACCCGAACCCAGATCCAAAGATTCCTCCTTTTACTTGAAACTCAATTACCCAGATGAAATATCGAAACCCAGAACTGAAGCCCTCTCCAGATTCCGGAAAACGAAGATTCAACCCACACAAAGAAGAACAGAGACTTATGCAGAGATGGTTGGTCTCTCTCTCTCTCTCTCTCTCTCTCTCTGCAACTGTAGAATTTGAAGCAACAGCTAACAGGACGAATTTCCTTTACGCGAAACTCTGTATGGTTGCGTCTCTCAGAGTTCAGAAGTTCCCGTCTGACTGTCGGTGCGCGAGATTTGATTTTATGATATAGGAGTTAGCAGCAGTATCACAGAGAAGAGAAAGAAAGAAAGAAAGAGACGCTGACGGTGGTGGTGGAGGTGGAGCCGTGGAGGGAGAAGAGAGTTGTTGTCGCTTTGTGATGGGAAAAGAAAGAGAATATTATAAAAGGCCAAGAGGGCCATTTTCCCTCCCCGTTTTTGGTTAGTATGCTTTTTGACCCTATATTATAATGAAATCACAAATAAGCCCCTAACTATTTTTCCTACCTTCGCACTAGTTCAGAGCTGTCCTGTTATAGTTCATGCCGTCTTAGGTAGCCTGATTCGAGATCATACAGGATATTGTTTGACAATGTTTGTTTTAAACCTTGAAATTTACTCTATCGTGAGGTTTGTTTTGAAATGCAATATAGGATTCTCATCTACGTGTTGAGTTGGATTCACGATGTGTAGTCTAACTGCAACAACACGGAGATAGGAAAGATCATATGGCGCCATTATTAGGGAATTTCGTGACATGATACCGTGTGAATGGGAGGTTATTATTTCCTATATTTATCGAGAGGGTACCAAATGTGTGCTTACTATTTAACTAGTTGTGGGCATTGGGAGTGTATTAGTTGCATTATGTTCTTCTAGATGATCCTATACTTTGCTATTGGGCATTCTACAATTTGCATAGATTTTCTAAATCCTTATTGATTTTGAATGTAGAATATGATGCAATTTGAGTCCATTTATTTACTAAAAAAAGCTCACTCTAAGTTTTTTGTTTGGTGAAACACTCCATTTGCTTTTGTTTCCAACACATTTTGGTATTTGGTTGGCTAGTCGACATATGGAGGACCCGTGCATGTGTCTTAAACTCTCTTTCATAGTATAGGTTTCCATTATTGAGTGGGCGAAGTGTTTTAATCATTAATCAGCCTCCAAATTTACATTAAAAAATTAAAACGATTGGTGGTTAATATCTACACATATTGTTTTTTTTCCTTTCAAATACAATTATGGGTTGTTTGGAAAAGAGCTGTGTATGAGAGATTGTAGCATAATCCATTTTTATGTCGGATTTTGACACAATCGTGCGTCTAAAAAGAAAGTTAAGGACGATTGAACGAGAGATTTCAAGAGTACTGCCACATTTTTAAAATTTCATATTTCCTCTCTACTCATCTCCTCTTCTTCCTTCTTTTTTTCTTCTCTATCGTCTTCTTTCCTTCTCATCGTCCCTCCCGATTCGAATTTTCGTATCATTCCCGATTCCTCCTCCTCCTTTCCACGCCGACCAAATGAAGCACGTTTTGTCCTTCGTTCTTCAACCTCCAACTCCAGAGGAATCCATCTAAATGGATATAAATCTGTCTCTAAAAGCTAGAATTCGTTGATTTGAGAATCGTGTTCCAAACGTCGATAGATCCGTTACGAGCTATCTCCAACCAAAAACAGTTTTTTTTTTTCCCTTCCAATGTCGGCACTTCCTTTTGTTTCTCACAAAGTAAACGTTACTGTAGGCTGATGATGATGAACGTTAAAGAACCAACGAAATCTGGAGTGTCATAATTGATCATAACTGTCTCTCAAGCTCCCACTCATGATCAGCAGCACCACATTGGAGGAGCTGTCCTAGTTGCCAAAACACACATGCATGAGCACCTGCCAAACGCATGGCTCCAATTATCATATGCCATGCTTGTGCTAAAAGGCTGAAACTGCAGCATGTGAGTAATCAAAAATGATGATTTTGTAAAACGACAGGTGCATGTAATTAGAGGCTGTAAGTTTGGCCCTAGATATCAACTGGTTCGGCCCGGCCCGGTCCGACTCTGAAGGTCGAGTTGTGTCGGTTTATCTATAGGGTCAGGTCATCTGTTTGACTCTGTAAGAGTTGGGTAGGTACTAGGTCCGGTCAACATAGGAATCGAGTCATTTTTAACCCTATGACCTATAGAAACAAACAGTGATTTGAAACTTCTCATACCAAAAGATTGGACATGTTCGACGTAATGTTGTCAGTTGTCACCAAAAAATTTGAACCTGTTTGTAGAAAAAATAAAGTCCGGGTACTAAATTGTAAGAAGAAAAACATAATTTTGGGATATCAGAATGTCAGTTTTCAAATATTGGTTCGTAAATTTTGGCCGAGTCGAGCAAGCGGGTTGGCCCGACCCGACTCAACGAGGTCAAACAGGACAGGACCAAAGAGGAATAGGACCGTAGCGTACCAAGTTTGTACGTACATACCCTATAAAACTGGGTATTTTAGGATAGTTCTAGGGTCGGAGCCGGGGTTGGCCCCAGTTTCACCTCACATGCAAGTAGTATTGTGACAGACTGACAGTTCTATATTTGTACCTATTACCTAATCTAACTGCTGATATTGATCATCGAACCAATAGTTGATAACTTCATATTGATACACAGCCTAAAAGTTTGGAAAAGCATATGATCATGTGATTGATTGAGCATATATATATCTGCACATGATGTACAGTTCAGACCGAACCTCTTAGAATATATATACAGTCCCTCCATATTGTATGCCGCAGAATTCGAGCCTCCCACATGAATCATGATGAATAGCAGAAAATGCCGTTTAGATTTTATATTGACGAAGTGCATTTCATGTTTTTTATAAATGTTAAAGGGCATTTCACGGAGAAATAATGATAAACGAACTAGATTATATTTTTTTGTCGAGCAGAGTGCTCATGCTCTCCCCATTCCACCTACCGCCTCAAAATAGGTCAAACAGATCAGGTAAAATGGGCTATGTCGAAATTATATGCATTACCAACAGTGGCGGATCCAGGGGGTGGCCAGCCCGGGCCACGACTCAGTCCTCCCCTGGATTCGGAGCTGGTATAGTCCTTATGAGTTTATAGATTTTAGCCATTCGGCGCGGTGTTAATTGATAATAAGATTGTGTGTAATTAGGAAAATTGGTAACATGGACATATTCAAATCACAACTCTAAATTTAGCTTGAAAATTCTAGCTCCAATGATTCTCATCTAAAGAAAAACAAACAATGAAACCTAAAATTCTAAAACGTAAAAGACTAAAAGAATATATGAGGTTTATTCCCTTAAGAAATTACTAGAACAGCCGGTGAAAATAGGAATTGATATACACAATATATATCGATTAGTCGATTTATTTGTCCAGTATTGACATTGCTCATTTCAACAACTACCATGGAGAGAACCTTTTCAACAATGAAATAGGTGAAAAATTATGCGCGCAACAAAATGAACGATATGAATTTCTCGCCAATTGGTTTAACTATTTTATCTTAAAGAGAGTATGCTATTGGTAGTATGGATGTAAACTCTATTATTGATGAATTCACTATATTAAAATTTAAAAGATCAACGTGTACAATTGATATTGTAAAAAAAAACTATATGGGAACAGTGCTCTACCGTATCTAATTTTCTAATAAAATTCGGCTCAGTGCTCTGCCGTGTCCTGCATCTCAGCTGATTACCGATGGGTACAGTTATCCATCCAGATCTAGCGGATTCCAGCTCGTGATCAACATGGGAACACAACTGATAATTCATAATTGACTCGTCATGTTTTCCCCCTGTACTACTTACCTGCCTACTGTGTCAAAATCGTAAAACACTCCCACAAATATATACATCAACCACAACCCAACAACCTTTGAATCCACGAACCAACAGAATTCTACAAAACTTGCTTTCCCAATGTCCATGGCCACCGGAGCTCTTCTCCCCAGCAAGCCCCTGACGCCGTCCGTCAACCGCCGCAGTCGTCTGTTCCCCGGCAGGCCCACGTTGCGGCCCACCATCACCATGTCGGGACCACCAACAACGCTGCCACTCCGATCGTCTCCTGACTATTGGGCCTCCGCAAACGCCGACATCCAGGCCCATCTCGAGCGGGCCATTCAGATCCGCCACCCGCTCGCCGTCTCCGAGCCCATGCGCCACCTCGCCTTCTCCGCCCCGGAAACCACCGCGCCGGCGCTGTGCCTCCTCGCCTGCGAGCTCGTCGGCGGCAGCCGGGACCAGGCCGTGGCAGCTGGGTCGGCCTTGCGTCTCGTCCACGCAGCCGCCTCGGCCCACGAGGGGCTCCTGTCGTCTCGGCCCAGGAAGGATGGGCCTAAGTTCGGGCCCAACATCGAGCTGCTCACGGGAGATGGGTTGATCCCATTTGGGCTCGAGTTGTTGGCGAGGTCCGACCCCAACCACTCCAACCCAACCACTCAAGCCGAGTCGAGCAGCCGGGTGCTACGTGCGATCATCGAGATCGCACGTGCATCCGGCTCGCACGGTATGGTGGAGGCGCGGTACAACGAGATCGAGATGATCGACAGCGACGGCGACGAGGAGGAGTGGGTGGAGCGGGTGTGCAAGAAGAAGGAAGGTGAGATCCACGCGTGTGCTGGCGCGTGTGGGGCGATATTGGGTGGAAGAGGGGAAGAGGAGATCGAAAAGTTAAGGAGATATGGAGTGTATGTTGGGATGATCCAAGGAATTGTTGCAGCGAAAAGGGTTGGAAGAGGAAGAAGAAGAAGAAGAAGAAGAAGAAGAACATGGTTGGAGAGAAAGGTTGGTGAGCTAAGAGAGTTGGGTTTGAACGAGTTGAAAGGTTTTGATCGAGAAAAAGTGGAGCCTATTGCTAGCCTTATGTTAACTTCGGAGCATGATAGAAGATTAAGGGTGACTGATTAGTGGGTGTTACCGTTAATTGATTATGTATTAGGTGTGTTGCATGTAATTGCAAAGTTCTTTGTTGGTTTTAGAAAGTGCATTGTGCACGAAAATTATGGTGAATAATGCTATATATATATATATATATGGTGATGTCTTTGGTGCACTCACTTTTTTGGGTGCATTCAGTGCACTCGCTTTATAACCGTCATTTTAAACATGCAATTTATGTCAAAATGATGTCAATCATTACTTATGATGCGATGAACAATAACGCACATGAATTTGCACAAAAACCATTAAAGATTTACTTCAATTTGAAGGATTTAGAGTTTAGAGATTTAGGGATAGGGTTAGGGTTTACAATTTGGGGTTTAGGGATAGAACTTAAAATTGGAGGTCTAGGGCTAAGGGTAAATCGCTAATTTGTTGTTATCATATGTTATATCATCATATTACACTAATTCTACAAATAAAAATTCAAAATCTGGCACTTTAAGACTAGTTTTTGAGTTGGGTGCACTGAACGCACTCATTTTTATGAGTGCACCGAAGTAGCCACCTATATGGTGATGTCTTTGGATGGGTCGTATGATTATATATATATAATGCTTATTTCATGTAGTTGGATGGGTCGGTTGAGTTTGCTATCACAACTGACCCACCCGTTCAATAATAGGTTGGTCGTATGATTATAATTTGATGTCAAGTTTGTATTCATTTTCTCTCGTTAGAACCAATAGATTGTGCATGAATGCAATTGGCCGCTCACGAGTTGTTCGAAATTTACAATGAATGCTATTAAACTTGTTTGATCGGGTCAATGGTTCTATGAGGTTTCGATGTTGCGGGTATGATTAGGGGTTAAAGGGTAGTTTAGTATTTTATTAGGTTTAGTCGGTTAGGGTTTCTTGTCAGCGTCTATATAATGTACGTTAGTTCTGTCATTAGGGATATGAATGAAAAAAAATAATCAAAGTATCGTTAGAATTATCTCTCTTCTCTCTAGTCTCTTTCAAGAACCCTAATCGGTTAATCTCAATTCTAAATCATCCAATTCTGCCCCAATTCTCTTCTCAATCAATCTAAATCTCTTTCTAAATTCTATCTTGTTACGTTAATTTGGGTGCCCAAGATCCGTCCGTGCCTACAACATTCGACTACAGAGGACTTTGAGATCAACGGTTCGTTCGATTAGCAGGTACCCATTAACAGGATTGTGAAAGGGTTTAGTGAGAATGGGAGAGACGGAGCAAAAAAGGAGCACTTAGTCCATGTTATAACTTATAAGTCATTTAGACTACAGATTCGAGAGTTGAAATACTATTTATATGATTGGAGAGATCACTTTATATAATTGCAAAATAATATCAGTAATATTGGTATTAGAAAGCAGAAACTAATCAAATCCTTGAAACTAAAGATTATGGCAGTATATGTTTTAGCTTGGAATGTCCAAAAATAGAAAGATTACGCCAGTAAAAACATTAAACATCGGTTCCTTATTTCTTCTGCATTTCCCCCTTCTAGAAGGGCAGCTGACGATTTATTATGGTGCAGTAAAAGAAACAAAAAACGTGGCCCAAAACTTCTGCTACACAGTACGATGTTAAGTTCTAGGTTTAGTACAAGTACATGAAAGTTCAGATGTATCAGCAGCGGAAGAAAAGCCGAAATTGGCTGTCATTTCTTTTTTTTATTTTTATTCATTCATGATCAATAACCACGCGGCACACGTGCTGGAATTCTCCCAACACTCTTCCTCCCCTTTCCATCTTCAATTCTTCGTAGTGGGTATATACACTATGTATTACCATGTATAATCACTGTTCTTCCTTAACGGGGAAAACTTGCATACCATGGATTGGATGAATCTTGATTTACTTTTGCACGATTGTTTGGGTTCTTTAGGTTGGTTGGTTTCTCCAATTATTAGGTGGTTTGGTTTTGGTGATAGTTAAATAGATGCATTGTTATCGATGCATGTATATTATATACATGCATATAAGAAAATTGATGTATTGTAGTTTACATCGTTTGGTTTTTGCGATAGTTATTCTAGTATTTAAATAAGATATATTGCTTTATTGTTGAAATGTCACTTTGACCCTTTGTTTTTAATATAAAAAAAACAAAACACATCAAAAGGTAGGGGCATAGTTGGAAGAAGAAAACACTCAAACACAGGGGCAGAGCTAGGATCTAGTGGTCGGGGGGCCGGATTTTATTGTATAATATTCGTAAAAAAAATTAAGAAAATATTTACATTGTGAGTCATAAGCTTCAAAATTTAATTATCTAGACTCCAAAATTTAATTATCTAAATTAGAAAAATATTATAAGCTCCAAAATTTCATTATCTAGTTTGAAATTTGAAATTAAAAAATATTTGAATAAGTATAAAAGTTAAGTGATCAATCTAAATTTTAAACAAAAATTCAACCAAAGTAGGAAAACTAAAAAAACAATGTTGCTGCCAGGGATTGAACCATGGTACTGGGTATTAACAAATATCAAGTAGCTGCATTCCATTAGACTAGACCCAAACATTGTTGTATATTATTGCACGTTATTGTTATTCTACAATAGTTAACTTCTTCAGAATTTTCAAAATTTCCGATATTTTTACACGCGATCTACAAAATTCTCGGGGGGGGGGGGGGGGGGCCCGAGACACAAGGTAGCTCCGCCCCTGCTCAAACAATCTCAACAATCTCATAAAAAAACTTGAGATATTACTATCACTCATTTTGAGTGATAGTTTTCATCACATCAAGCAAACAATGCATGTATAGTTTGCGCAGAAAATTCAAAAAAACAATGCATTGTAACTATCCCAACCAATGAACCAAACAATCATCAAAATCAAACAACCCATAAATTGTTGTACTGTGATCACTTTTATGATTTATCCCTTCTTTTCGGTAGAAAATGTACCTTTTAGAGAACAAAATTAAAGGGAAAAGAAACAACAATCTCAAATTGAACAATCCCAACAATCTTAATTAAAAACTGAGGTCGTATAATCGTTCATTCAAAATCATGACAGAAGAAACAGAGGAACTTGAACAGAAATAATGACAGAAGAAACCACCTGAATCCTGACGATGAAATCCTGACCACAAACAGCAAACTAGTAACTACCAAGCTAGCTGGCTAGATTTCCTAAAACCTAATTTAAAATCCCCCACCAAATCTACAATCTTCTTCACACGTTTCCATAAATTAGACGCCGCAGCAGATCCTGGAGAAGAAGAAGAAAAAATCCTCCCAATTTGTAAAGAATGACCAGATTCATTGATTGATTTCTCAATCTCAGCGGGATTCCAGAAACCCTGTTCTGGTCAAAATGGCGTTCCTGACTTTGCTAAGGTCCCTCCCTTTCAGCTTCCTCCCGACACCTTCCAACACAGAGAAGGACGAAATCTGGGTCCTCGCCATCCTCCTCGAGATCATCTCGTGCGGCGGCTCCATATGGCTGTCATCACCACCGTCCATTTCGTCGCCCTCCTCGTCCTCGCGCTCTCCATCGTCGTCATCGGAGCCCATCCATGGCTTCTTGGAGCTCTTACTGGGCTGATTTTTGCCGCGGATCTTGGACCAGTCAGGGATGTTGACCGGCGCCGACTGCTGTACCAACAGCTTCGCTTCGTTGTCGCTGCTGCCGCCGCCGCCAATGGGGATCATTCTGGCGGCGGAGGGGAAGTTTCTGTAGGGGAGTGGAGCAGAGTGCTGCTGAATGGAGTTGGTTTTGCTGTTGTGTCGCAGCACATCCCAAACATCTTGCTCGTCGTAATCGCCGTCCCTAAGAGATCTCCAAACCCCGTTCCCTTGCCAATCCGAGTCATGCCTACCACCCATTCGACGAATTTCCTGAACCAACTATGCACATCAGCGTCGATACATAGACAGGGGAAACAGAGGGCGGGGAATTGGGTTAGGTTAGCAGGAATCTACCTTGGGTTGGATCAGGAAGCACCAATCTTTCAGGGGTTCAAGAAAAAGAATCGAACTTTGGGCCTGGAATTCGGAATCCCCCCCAATTCGAGATACCTGCAACATGGTGGTATATTCAATTCAGCGCATAACAGAAAGAGATGAGAAAAGTAACGAAGAAAGGGACGGGTTTGAAGAGCAGAAAAGGAATTCCAGAATAACAGAGTATCGATTCCTGACCTGGGTTTAAGAGGGTTCAGAGAGAAAGAGAGAGATCTGCTCTGCTCTCCAGTCTCCTCTGCTCCTGGAATTATATTACGATGGAGGCAGAGGGGTTTCTGTCTATTTGTGCTGGCTTTTGCTTTCAATGGACCCTTGAGAATTAACACAGAATGCAATCCCCTTTAAATTATAAAACAACTCACCTCCAAACAAAACTAGTAATCAGAAAATTACTTTTTTCAGAAAGTAATGTAAGAAACAGGGGGAGGGGAGGGCAGATCAGAGCAGAGCTGGATCCTGGTGATATCACTTTCCAGGAGGAATTGCTAACAGGGTGATTGGCTGTGTCTGTGTGTGCATATGTATGAATGTCTTTTACTCTTTACAGCCAGGAGTTCAATCACCATCCCATATATGAAGACAACAACTTGATTGTGAAAATTAAATGAAGAAAAAAAGGAGAGAGATGTACATGGGAACAAAAAGAAGCTAGAAAGGAAGGATGGTGTGGTGTGGTGGGGGAGATGGGTTTCATGGCAAATCAAGAAAAATGGTGGCTAGCTTAGTGGCTTGGGTGGTGACTGGTGGGGTGCCTCTGCCTCTGATCTAGTGATTTTTTTCCCCCTCCACTTGTGCGAAGGATTGTTTGAGAGTGGGAATCAAATGAGCATAACTAGTTCTGTGAAGAATTTGGCATAAATAACTCGAATTATTGAGAAATACTCAATATGATAATCAAACGTAGAGTTACGATCTGTTGAAATGATGCAAAATAAAATAATAATAAAAACTACAATAAGTTAAACTAAACGCAAGGTTATTGCCTGTTGAAATTTCGACATATGTTAAGTGTAGATCGCTGGAGTTTCGAGCGATCTGTGGATAGATCGCTTTGGGTTTACCTTAATCCAGACAGGTTCGAGATCGGTTTGCTTAGCCGACCGTGTTTTGAATGGTTCACTTCGATTTCCCGTGAATTTTGGTATCTAGATCGCTACACATTGCAGTGAAACTGTCCAACCGGGTGTATTTTATAACTTTGATAATATGGGGAAGTCCTCTTATATGGTAAGGGGTCGTTTGGAGCCTTTGATTTCGGTAATAGTGTAGTAAGATACACCAAGAATATGTGCATTAAGATTCTGTGTATACTAAGAATGTGTGGGTTTAAAAATGTTTTGTTTTGAAAACATAGAAGGATGCATGGATTATACATGAATGAACTATGAATACTAAATTTTACCAAAAAGGTATGATTAAGTATATATCAATTCTATGTAGTATGAATATATCATGTATTCTGTGATAAAACAAGTAAAAAAATATTGTATTCTTCATAAATACACATATACTCACAATACAATGTTTAGAGTCAGAGGTTCCAACTTCCAAACAAGGCCTAAGTTGCACTTGCATTGCAATTTGCAAATGGTTTTCAAGAGTAAAAAGTAATTTTGAGAGACAAAAGTGAAGTTGGCTTCTACTTCTTGTACAGCACTTGCAGCAGCGGCTAGCCAATCAAATGCAATGCAATTGCTGCCGCCGAGTCAACAAACTGTGACTGCAAACAGCCACCTACGTGCTGTTGATTTTATAATAAGTAAACAACGAACAAAAACCTGTTTAAAAAAAAAAATATGTCATATAGGCAAGGAAGGAACACAACTACAACTAGTAGGGGTGTTCAAATGGACATGGTTACCATGGTTATTACCAAATTAAATAAGGCTAAATTTCATTAATCATGGAATACAATATCATAACCAAACCGTCCAAACTAATACAACAACCAAATTAACCAAATTAAAGGTTAATCAGTTTGGTTAATTGGTTAACCAGATTAACCAATATAAAATCATATTATCATTAAGTGAGAAAATTTCGGTTAATTTATCAATTCACAATTTATATAATGAATAAAACATATCTATCAACACATAGTTATAGTTGACCCTTAACATAAATACATGCAACTAAGACAATTATATTACGGTTAGCAATTTTCATAGGCTGAAAAGGACCTTGCTTTCAAGTTTTCATCCAACATAATGTATGAGATTTATCTAAATTAGGCGTTTATATGTTGTGGTCTATAGTCTACATATACAAATATACATTATAGGAGCAATATCAAGTTTTATATTTTGTGAGTCTAAAAGGGATGAACGTTTAACTCTTGAGTGGTTATTCAAAGTATTAAGTATGTGTATATATTAGATATATGACTAATTATTTATGTGGTTAATTTGGTTTGGTTGGTTAGGAGTGTCTGAAACCAAACCACCTAAACCAAACAAGCTAAATACTTTAACCAAACCAAACCAATTATCCAAATTAACCAAACCAAATTATCCAAATAGTACGGGTTAAAACGGTTATCATGGTAACCACACCGTTTAAACACCACTAACAACTAGATCTTATTAAATTCCGACGGAAACCTGTCCTGCCCTCTTTTTTCAATCCCTACCATGGTTGTCACGCCGGCCGGCGTGCCACCGATTGTACCTAGTTCAACCGATACCGATCATAAAACCGACATGACATCACCGGTATGACCGGCATGATCGATATACGAATCTCCAAGTAAAATGACCTTATTTTAGTGAATTTAATTGATAAAAATTATTTTATTATTTATCTTATGAGTATAAAAGTTAAATATTGATGTTATTTGTTGGATTCAAGTATAAATGTTTAGGTATTGACGTTAATGTCATGTTTCAATATGAGTATTTATAATTTTATTTGTAATATTGACCAACATGAACCGGCACAAACCGGTATGTGCCACCGGTCGAACCATTCCACATGGTAGATCGGCACACTGGCATAAACCGGTTTGACAACCTTCATCCCTGCAATACAAATTGAGTGTCCCACCACCTCTGATGATCAATCAGTGGCAGCTTGCAAGTTGGGGGCGTGATTCCAAGTCCCATCAATAATGCCACACTTACGAGGTCTGAAAGTCGAGAATCCAAACAAAAATGGCACGACTTTCAGTCACATTGGCTTGTGTTTTCGACCGCTAATAGATCTTTTCCTTGGTTCCCTTCCCTTCATCGTACATCCCCAAATGAGACAAAGGAAGCAGCGACTGCTGCTGCAAAGAACCACCACCCGTTTGTTTCCTTGAACTCTTTCTGTGCGCATTCATTCACCAAATGCCGTCTGAATCTCTTCTACTGCATACTGTTTTGAACCCATTGTCCCAGCAAACGTCTTGTCCAACCCTTGGCCATATCTTCAGAAACACAAACAGCGTTCTTGTTCGCTTACGGGAGTAAAAAATTCCATAGTAAGAGGGTAAATATTATTATCATCCGTCACTGTCGTCAAGCTCTGCACTTTTGGAGCATATATTTCAAGATGCAACATGAAAGGTCAGGCGCTAATGAGGTAGAAGCTATCATTCAAACCATGAGAGACTAGTTTACCAATGCTCACGATTGAAGGAAGTAGTGAAAAGGGAGATCAGATGCTTCTCGTCCTGCAGGCACCAGATTCAGGATCTCCATTTTTCGCAAAACTGGACAGCTGAGAAGGCGTCAGCACCAGGCTTAGTTAGGCAGACGCTTTTCGGTCCATATCCTTATTCCACTTCACAAATAATAAGCGCTTTGATGCTGCAATGACTAGATTGATAAATCACTTAGCAATTAGCATAGCAAGGAAACAAAGGGACACAAGCAGAAGTGAAAGACAGCATCGTTCATATCCAGGGAGAAGGAAATGAGAAACCTGTGTTGTGCCTATACTCCGCATTCCTTGCCACGAACTGTTGAAAGCAAACATAAACTTCAAGCCGTGAATGGAATTTCCTCCTTGCAAATCGTTTTCACCATAACCATAACCAAATAACCAAAGTAGTAAAGAGTGCCAACACCAATAGTTGAGAGGAACAACCCTCCCGTCCAACATCCTCCAAAGTTGCAGAGACAACAGAATCTTCTACTTCTCATGCACATGCTTACTTGACCTGCTCAAATTGTCCAGCCATTAATAGTGGGAGATCCCCTTTTGCAAGCATCACAAACACATGTAAATTTCCCTCTTTGGCTAACCACCAATATGCAATAAAAGGGATAAATGCAATTACCTCATCAGCTTGTATCAAGTAACCACCAACGTGCAATTGAATGAAACCACAGCATAACTGATAACAGCAGTCAGGCTTGGTTCTAAACTGCTAATACCAATCATACCAAATAGGGTTAACGAATAATGACTAAGTTAACTTCGTAATTATGCAGCAAGGGTTAGTAATAACTTCCCCACTTCTGCACATAAAGCTGAGAAGATTGGCCACAACAACATTTCAATTCAAGATTCGACCTTCCCCAAACCCTAATGTTCCATGAGCTGTTGAACACTGGAGAGATCCAACAATATATGAAATTACAGGAACAGCAAGTTGATCCAGATTTCACAATTCTCAAAAGCAAAACGATCAAACCCTGCCCTAATGCCCTGATCATTGAACCCCCAATCGAATTGCACAGAACGAACGGGTCCGATAGGAGTAAATGGAGAATCAGAAGTGCAAAATTTCCCATTCCAAGATGTCAAAACCCTAAAACAATTTCAACCGTCAAGAATCTAATCCTTTATTGCGCTTCATTTACTAGGAAAGACTAACAAGAAAACTGTATTTATAATGAAATTACAACAAAGGAAAAAGGGGGATTCAATGCTAATCCCCCCCAAATCTCTACTTCCAATCAATGAGCAGCAACAACTACATCGCTATTATACACACTAATCAAAGACCCATTACTATTACTATCAGCGACGCCACCAGACGGCTCCAAAACCGGATCGGAAGCAGCCAAACCGGCGGCGAACAAGACAGATCTAGCGGCGACGAGTTTCTTCCTCGTGAGGGATCGAGGGCCGTACAGCTTGCCGAAAAAGCAAGGGACGCCGTCGGATGAAGGAATCGATGGAGGGGAGTGGTGCTCCGATTCAGGAAGACGCGGAGGAGGAGGAGGAGGAGGAGACTTGGGTCGGAGAGATCTGGCGGCGCTGATTTTGGAGTCCCGGAGACGGGCGAGGGCGCCGGGCTTGAGGTAGCGCTGGAAGCAGCAGTGGGTGGGTTTTGGAGATCGGGAGATTCCCACCATTATCGGAGGACGATTGGAGGAAGAAGAAGAGGAGGCGATGGATGGATGGACTGGGGAAGGAGAGTGGAGATAGGGTTTTGGGGATTTATCAGTGGCTGGAAAGGATTTTGTGGGAGGGAAAAGGAGCGTTAGGGGAGCGGGAAAAAAATGAAATGAGGAGCGGTGGCGTTTAGGGGAAGCAACGATTTAGGGTTTCGAAAATGGTAGTGGCGGGAATCATGGGTAGCGACGCGCGACTTCACTGGCTAGTGGCTACGAAGCCACGTGGATTTTCACTAACGGTCATTATTAATAACTGAAGTGGCCCATGAACTTATTAATTAGGATATTGCTATTCGTCGCCCTAAATTAACTTATTTGTCGTCCTAAATTTTATTGAATTTACCCAAATATTTAATTGAGAATTCATTTATCTTGTAGAGTACAACAATTTTTTTACAAAAGATTTATCTAGTAGAAAATTATGTATATTGACTCTTGCAATTTTAGTGAAATTTAGTATTAGTAGTTCATTTTAAGGTTTAATTCATACATTTTTATATGTTTTTTCAAACAATAAATTCCTAATATCCACACATTTGACAACACTGTCATTTGATTGGTATTACATTGAATTAAAAAGTTTCTCAGTATACCCCCATTAAAAATAAATACTTCTCAAAGAACGCCAAAATAACTAGATACAAAATCCCTTCGGTTATATATGTACTCTCACATTAATTATATTCCTAATGCTTGTATATAAATGCTAACCAGATCTTTCACAATCGATCAAAATCAACTATATACACAGATTTGGTGTAAACTTACTGGCTCCAATTCACATTTGTATTCTCTCTTTTCACAATCGGGACCTGTAAAAGAGGGAGATCAACACATAATATGAAGACTTTCTCAGTTCTTGTTCTCTTAATGCTAGTTCTTCTTGTTGGAAGCAACCACGGTAAAATCTCGATATTATATATATGGAATAAACTTTAAAAGAACTATGTATATGTGGTTTATGTCATATTTGGGGAGATAATTACAATAATTGGTTTGCATTGCAATTTGATTGCAGGGAGAGAATTGAGTCGTGGTCCTCTTGGAGATAAGTATTGCCGTAAAGAAGAATTGCCTGGCGGATTAGATTGTATAATCGAAAATTGTGTTTTCAAATGTGTGGAGAAATTCGGGCTTGTTGTTGGTGGATATTGTCCAACAGAATCTAAATGTGAATGTTACTTGCCTTGTTGAGATAATTTGATCATGTATTGTCCCTGGAAAAAAGAAAAAAAAAAGAGTTACAATAAAAGATGAATAAGTGATATTTTTGGGAATAGGTCGTGCTGATGCATATGAGATAATTAATGGTCAATCTAGTTTAGAGATTTCCAATATCACTACAGAAGTTACATTTTCCTAATGCGTTTCCGTTAGGGTTTACTAGCTCATTATATAAATTTACACAGCATAGGAAGGAATCCAGAAATATAATATGAAACCTATGTTCTTATGAATCCAATTTTTATGATTTTGTCTCGTAGGTTGGTTGATATATGAAATTTTTATGATTTAGTGTGAATTACAGACGTGTGATGTTTCAACCATAGACATTGGACAGTCATTTACTTCCATCCCGCGGTACCTCCTTGCCTGACCCTGCATGCAAAAACCAGGTAATAGAGCCCAAGTTGGTTACTTCCTTCCCACGTTACTTCTATTCCAATAATACAGAGACCTTTCTATGTAGGGTTAATACCTTGTTATGGCCTGAACTATGACCATGTAATCAACTTTGGCCAGTGGTTTGAGAAATTAACATCCTGGCCCGATCTATGCAGCATATTGACAAAATTGGCCTGGAGCGTGGTTTGACCGTTTGTTTGGACGGTCAACACCGTTGACCGTTAGTCAACTGTCCAGGTCACTGCCATGTCAACATAAAAAAATTACAATTTCATTTTTCTTTTTATTTCATTTACAAAAATTGAATAATTAAAAAAAAAAACAAAATCAAAAAATTTTGGCCCACCCATCCCCACCTTATCCCCTCACCTTCTTTCCTTTTCGATCAAACCCAACCCTATTCCATTTTCTTCCTCCTTCTTCCCCGACGGCGTAAACATCAGCCTCGCAAGCAGAAGCAAACAGACTTCCAAAAGCCTAAAGAGAATGTGCCAATGCACCAAGAAGGAAGAAGGGCCAACAAAGTTTCTAAGTCAGCTGGAACCTAAAAGAAGCGGGAGAGCAGCAGAAGTACGAATGGAAACCCAGAAACCCAGGCAAGAGTACCTCGAATACGAATCTGTCTAGGAAGAACCGGACAGTGGGGAAGAAGAACCGGAGATTGGGTTGTAATTGCTGATCTTGTTTCTCCGCTGCTGTAACAAACTATGTTTCCCATTGTTCGAATTGGAATAAAGATGCCTCATGTTGTAAAAAAAAAATACATAGAAAGGTCTCTGCATTATTGGAATAGAAGTAACGTGGGAAGGAAGTAACCAACTTGGGCTCTATTACCTGGTTTTTGCATGCAGGGTCAGGCAAGGAGGTACCGCGGGATGGAAGTAAATGACTGTCCAATGTCTATGGTTGAAACATCACACGTCTGTAATTCACACTAAATCATAAAAATTTCATATATCAACCAACCTACGAGACAAAATCATAAAAATTGGATTCATAAGAACATAGGTTTCATATTATATTTCTGGATTCCTTCCTATGCTGTGTAAATTTATATAATGAGCTAGTAAACCCTAACGGAAACGCATTAGGAAAATGTAACTTCTGTAGTGATATTGGAAATCTCTAAACTAGATTGACCATTAATTATCTCATATGCATCAGCACGACCTATTCCCAAAAATATCACTTATTCATCTTTTATTGTAACTCTTTTTTTTCTTTCTTTTTTCCAGGGACAATACATGATCAAATTATCTCAACAAGGCAAGTAACATTCGCATTTAGATTCTGTTGGACAATATCCACCAACAACAAGCCCGAATTTCTCCACACATTTGAAAGCACAATTTTCGATTATACAATCTAATCCGCCAGGCAATTCTTCTTTACGGCAATACTTATCTCCAAGAGGACCACGACTCAATTCTCTCCCTGCAATCAAATTGCAATGCAAACCAATTATTGTAATTATCTCCCCAAATATGACATAAACCACATATACATAGTTCTTTTAAAGTTTATTCCATATATATATAATATCAAGATTTTACCGTGGTTGCTTCCAACAAGAAGAACTAGCATTAAGAGAACAAGAACTGAGAAAGTCTTCATATTATGTGTTGATCTCCCTCTTTTACAGGTCCCGATTGTGAAAAGAGAGAATACAAATGTGAAATGGAGCCAGCAAGTTTACACCAAATCTGTGTATATAGTTGATTTTGATCGATTGTGAAAGATCTGTTAGCATTTATATACAAGCATTAAGAATATAATTAATGTGAGAGTACATATATAACCGAAGGGATTTTGTATCTAGTTATTTTGGCGTTCTTTGAGAAGTATTTATTTTTAATGGGGGGTATACTGAGAAACTTGTTAATTCAATGTAATACCAATTAAATGACAGAGTTGTCAAATGTGTGGATATTAGGAATTCATTGTTTGAAAAACATATAAAAATGTATGAATTAAACCTTAAAATGAACTACTAATACTAAATTTCACTAAAAATGCGAGAGTCAATATACATAATTTTCTACTAGATAAATCTTTTGTAAAAAAATTGTTCTACTCTACAAGATAAATGAATTCCCAATTGAATCAATGTACTTGGCATAGAAAAAGCTCAGTTCAGACAAGCTCCACTTGGTCTCAGGCGACAGGCGGCGACTGCTCCCCCGTCGTGATGTTTCAACCATAGACATTGGACAGGAGTCCGGATCTGGTGACTAAGGGGGGGTGCTTAGTCACTTGGCTAAGCCCCCCTCAGCCATTGGATCCTTATTAATTGATCTAATGGTGGAAATAAGGGAAGGGATGGTTAAATAATAAGAGGGACAATTTTGGGATTATGAAAATTTTATTTAATTATTTTTTTTCTCCAGCCAATCTTCTTCTGCGCAGCATAGCACCGCCGCCCATGAAAGAGAGAGAGAAGCGCTGCAGCGACGACGGAGAACGCCGGCGATGATGGAAGAGAGGGCGGCGACGACGACAATGGAGATCTCGACGGTGCCGGCGACGACGAAGAGAGGGAAAGGAGAACGAACGTGACAGAGGCGACAGCTTCGAAGAGAGAGAAAGCGGATCTCGTCGTCGGGAAACCAGAGGAGAGAGAGAGACGATGGTGGATGATACAGAGGCGGCGGAGAGAGAGAGAGAGTGTCGGCGACAATGGAGGAGAGAGAGGCACCGCGACGATGGAGAGAGAGAGAGGTGGCGACGACAGTACAGAGAGTCGGCGGCGGCGGCGGCGGCGGTGGAGAGACATCGTATGCGTCGTCTGAAGGAAGAACAGTGATTTGTATAGTTTGTATGTTTTGTAACATTAGTTTGTATTGTTAGTATTTTTGTACAAAATGTCAGTATGGGTTGTATGTTTTTCTTTGACAGTTTGTACTCTTAGTATGTTTTTCTTTGACAGTTTGTATTCTTAGTATGTTTTTCTTTGACAGTTTGTATTCTTAGTATGTTTTGCTTGTATTCTTAGTATGTTTCGCTTTGTATTGTAAGTACTAATAATTTGTATACTTTATATGTATTGATTTGTGATGCAAAAAACATTACAAACATGGTTGACAAAAATGACAAACATGTGGACAAAAATAACAAACATTACAAACAATACAAAAGAAACCAACAAACATTACAAACATTACAAAATAACAAACATTACAAACATTGCAAACAAACATTACAAACATTACAAACAAACATTACAAACAGTACAAAGCATACTACACGTACAGAATATCACTACTAACAATACAGATTGGTAAACTTGTATTACAAACAAATGAATACAAAGTATACAAATCATAACATAAAAG